TTTCCCATAACGCTGAACTCGTTCCCATCCTAGCTTTAGTAAAAACCAACTCATACAGAAGTTTCTTGCTCATAAATGCTGCTGCAGCCTGAGAAGGTAATGCCACTGAGCAGTTCACCTGACAGGCTGTTGCTTTGATGGTGACGGGAGGCACGCAAAAGCACACTTTACACACACACAAACACTCGAACAGAACCGCTGCCTTCAGTCAGTTGTGCATAATGGAAACATGTTTCACAGCAGGGATCCAGAATGCCTGCAGGAGAAAAAAACTCATCTGTCAGGGAGTGAAACTGCTGCAGCTTGTGTAGAAAACAGAGTGTCCACAGGGTCTTAAAAAGTCTGAAATACCAAAAGTTTGGGCCTTAAAATGTCTGAAACAGCTATATAAATAAATACATTTGCCAGTATGGATATAAAATAGGTTTTAAATTGCATTCAGTGACTCTAAAAGTCTTAAATTGAACCTGTTAAAGTACAGAAAGTATAGACACTCAGAAGGTCATTAAGGTGTTGAAAATGCGGAGGATTCTTACTCGTACCACCCTTTTTGACCATTCCCCGTCCCTGTTTCTTCCTCACTCGTCCTCCTTTCGTTCTCAAACATTTGACAGGTTTATTTGATGCCTCGGATGTAAATCCATATTCATGAGGCAGCCGCTGAGCTTTGTTCATTAGCCGGTGAGCAGCAGCAGAGAGAGCAACAGTCGCTGTAAATTAACCTCCACAAACTGAAAGCTGCTTCAGTCTCAGTGGGACTCGCTGTGTGCTGCAGGCTCATCTTAATGTCTCCTCTGTTAAAGGTTGTTCTCTTTCTCTTCCTTCCTCATTTCTTTCTGTCCTTTCTTATCAAAATTTCAGCTCAAAATGTACTTGAACCAAACCTTCGTCTAACAAGATAACAGCTAATGCTCATTGTAATACTTTAGTTTCCTATAATTGTCCTAGAAAGGAGCTGATATGAAATTGTACATTCATAGACGGGAAGTACTGTTTAAACGTACAATTTGTCATTTTGATGTTTGAATTTAATGATGTGAAGAAGCAGCGTGGGATCATGGGAGTTGTTGTCTTCACCACCATTGCAGTCAGCTTCTCCCGGTTAGGATTCCTTCAGTGTTCATGGTTCAGGAGGTTTCTACCGGGAGCCCAATGATCCACAGAGGTCTCCTCCTCTCCAGAACAAACAGACCCGCTGATTAAAACCACTAAACACACTGAATAAAGCAGTTCCACCTTAAAAATCACTGCTTCTCCCACGCTGTTGGACAGACAAAGGACGTCCCGGAGGGGCTGCGAGCCGAGCTCAGCTTGTTTCTCTGATAACTTAAGATCCATGATGACTAAAAAGCACCAAGATCTAAACAGTGGATGGTAAAAATGTGGCTTTAGAACTTAAACATTGTTGGAAACATTTGGGATAATGTAAGAACTCAACTCAACTACATACAGAACATAGAGCTAGAGTTTATACACTGTTTAATGATACATATTATTGCTTTAATTTGGTACACATAATAGGGCAATAGAAGCAGTGTTCAATTGGTACAGTTGCAGTTAATTCATTCCAGTTAATTACTATTATAAGCTGGAGAGTCTTTTAGTCATTGCACAGCAGATCTGCTCCAGTCATGCAAAAATGTAAAATGTGTCTGCAGGGGAGCAAAAATTAATTCATCATATATGGAAAATTCCAGATTAAAATAATCTTTCTTGGGGTTTTAAAGGATTTCCGTCAGTTTCAGAGTTCAGACGAAGTGCAGAAAGCCATCACACTTACTGGGAAATGGAGAAAAAGACAAATAGCACCAGAGAGTGTTTGTGAGATGAAGAAATTCCCCGAACACACATCACTGAATATCCAACATGGCAGCTCATCCCTCATACAGGTGTGTGTTTGTGTGTGTGAACCACATGCTACGCTAATACTGCTGATGCTGCACTGCTCAACAGATGGCAGAAGACACACACACACACACAGCATGCCATATCTACACTTAATATTCCCCACATGTACACATATGCACACACATTTGCTTCAAACCTAATGTCGACTCTAAACCCTGAATCCTTTTAAAAAGCTCTCATATGTAGAAATAGAAGAGAATAAAGAGCTCCAATGAGACGTCACACTGATAGTTTTAACTGTAGCGAAGATTTCAGCCCTAATCGCTTCGCGTGTCTTGTGATCATCCCGACACATAATTACAGCAGGCAGATGTGACGGGGCCAATTAACACAACACACACATGCTGTTAGTGCACCGGCGCTGTGAGAGACTGTCAGCGTGTCCATTTCTTAATTTAAGACATTTTCTAACTGAAACACGGCAGAAATTAAAGCGAGAAAGAAAGAGGCTGCTGGACTGAACACGCTGTCAGGAGACTGATCTCTTTCCAGATCGACGCGCAATAATTACGCATCGCCGCACACAGAGTGTCCGCAATCATCTTGTAGTCTCACTTTTAAATGTGTTTTTGGGGAACATAATTCCATTGTTTATTCTGCAACTACTACAAAACAAAACCGACATGGAACAAATGCAGATTTTCCTTTTTTTTAGCCAGTATGGACCTAAAATAAGTCTAAAACTGCATTCATAATGGTTTTAAAAAGTCTTAAAAAACAAAAATTTATATTCATAGACTTGATCAATACCAGTGAAATTAAGAGTGGCAGCTTTAAAATTGGGGTGTTTATTTGTTCTACTTGCAGCATAAATGTAGTTTTGTCTGCATTTAGAACTGGTGTCAGATTTAAAAGTGTTCTCTGTTGGCTGCAGTTGTTTGATAGCCAGGTTTATAGACAGCGGCATCATCAGCATAGATATAGTTTCATGAGTGCGATTCGATGTCACTGTTATGTGTGATGAACCCAGAATAGATCCCTGGAGATGTGCCCAACTTCACTGAAGGTGTGATGGTTTACACTGAAAATAACAACAGCTGCCTGTGAGATGTGTTCCTCTCAGAAAGACATCATCCCGGCGAACCTGGAGGCCTCATCACGGCCTCTTCCTCCCATCTGTCCTTTCCTCTGAGTGTAACGAGCCTCGCCTGCAGTCATTATGGACACTCTGAGCTTCAGAGGACACAACAAAGTGGAAAAATCCGACCTGTGGATGTGTTGGAGCTGTTAGCTGTGAAGGCTGCAGCTTCATTTCCTCCTCTTCCCTTCTGTCTGGGGACGGATGTCACGGCTTTAAAGCAGATTGCTCTTTTCTCTCTATACATACACACTACACACACACACACACACACACACACACACACACACACGATATATGTATATAAACACAACAAACACGCAGTCATCTCAGCCCAGAGGGGAGCTGAAGTCGAACCACTTCACCGCAGGATCAACCTCATAATGACTGTTCAGCCATTAGGAGCCTGAATCGACTGTTTCTAATGTAACACTGCAGTGGAAATGAAGAGGACTGATGTTTTCAAAAAGCTCAAATTACTGACAAAAAACCCTTTTCTATTCCAAACATACAGTATATTGCCTTTTATAATGTCAGCTGAAGTGTTGTTTCTCTCATGATTATCATCAGAAACCTTAGGGAAATAAAAAGATAAGCTCAAATAAACAGTTAAAGGATAAATACTTGTGCACACACAGTTTAAACTGACGGTATCATCTTTAAAGGCTCTCGCTGTGCAGTGGAGAGCTGACAGTGGTTTCTGTGAATGTTGTGTTATTAAAGTGTCGTTGTTTAAAGGGACTTTGGAATTGTTGCTGTTGTCTCCACTTGAAGATCTGTAGAATTACAGTAATTGTCCAGTCAGGGCTGCCGTACCCGGCGTTCACATCGTTCTATTAGAAACTGATGGAGTGCCTCATCTCCTTTGTGTTATTATTGTTCCTGGGCTGCAGCGTAGTCAACTCTTTATTTTTTTACATCACAGCAAATAAACATCTTGTTTGTGGACGACTGACAGAAATGTAGAGAGAGGCCGACCGATGGCTGATATCAAGTCATGTGTTATCCTTTTGTTCCATGCACATTACAATCTAATGGTTATCTTAGGCAGTAATATGTTGTTTTAGATGTTTTATTAACTTATGAAACAGAAAACTACACTGGGTTGTGCTGTAGATTTTAGATGGTGACTTTAAGGGAGGGCGGGTAACGTTTAGAAAAGACGATAAACGTTCACAGCAAGAAGCGTGAGTATGGGTGGGTATTTTGTCCTTAAAAGAAGTAAACAAAACAATGTGTTCCTCTGCTTAAACTCTCTGACTGATTGATTTCTGACCTGGTGCCACAGTGCTGATGTAGCGTCTATCTGCACGCGGTATTTTATTATGAAAATTGACCGGATTCTCTAACGCGAGCTGCTCTACTCTGCTTGACGCGACTTCCATCAAGAACAGACCAGCTGCATATCGTCACAGTGACGAGGCGTCCTTTATCAGCAGACATTAGCCGATGCTGATTTGTGCTGTACTTACACAGTAGTGGAACATTTCCATAAAACCAATGTAGGCAAAGACGCTGACGTGCACAAGGTGAAGTAAAATAAGTAGTCGTGACCTTTGGCTGTGTGTGTCACCGTCACTGTCCTCTGGTGTGAAGGACGGACAGTGGTGAGACTGTAACATCTGTGAGTTCACCAGCAGAGCTCATATGACACACACACACACACACACACACACACACACACACACACACACACACGAGACAGGGCGCTGCCTAATGTGTGTGATCAGATGTGTGTCTGACAGCCAGAGTGGACACCTGCTGGCACTGTCGCAGGGCTGCAGGCGCTGTTTGGACATTTTTGGAAACGTTGCAAATGACTTTGATGAGAGTGTGTGAGGTGAAAGTGTGCGACTGACTAACTGACTGTGGCTGATGAAGATGTCGACATTCAGAGAAATCTGTGTGTGGTTCATTGCAAAGCTCCCTGACTGTGCAGCTCTAACTTTATTGATTTAAAATCTGGACTTTAGATTCACTGATTCACTGATTCACTGTTTCTTTTTGTCCTCAGCTGTCGGACGAGCAACAGGAAGAGCCTGATTGTGACATCGAGCACCTCCCCCACTCTGCCACGACCTCACTCACCTCTGCATGGACACACAGGTAAATCACATACAGAGACTGAGACACATCAGTGTCCTCAGGCTTCATTGTTGGCATAGCAGAGAATTGATTGAATAAGTTATTTGTTTCATCTGCTCGTCGTCTGCTGGAAGGTGTGTGTGTGTAGTAACAGCAGGTGAGGTGTGTTACATGGTGCCGTGTTGTTTACTATCACACACCAACAAAGCTCAATTAACACCTCAGACTGCACACGCAGCGCAGCACAGCGAGATATTTGATTGCACGGATTAATGCACAACGCACTCATACAGTCGGCTGCTGCCTGCAGATTGTCCACATTTTAAAACAGTTCAGACATTCAGGATATTATGTATAACACATAGATATAATATAATATGTTTTCATTACTGTATAATCACCTGAGAATAAGAATCGGTGTGTTCTCATCGTCCATGTTTCTACAGATACGATTTGTCTCTGCAGCACTACAGAACTTCATTATTATGCTGTTCGTGACACATTTGACCTTTTTATAAAAAATGGCTGCTTCTGGGATTTGCATATTACAATTTTGGTAATATTGCGATTAATTGTGCAGCCGCACTCAGTACATATCCTAGTTACAGACTGATTTTAATAGATCCTTATCAAAAATACTAAAAAAATTACCTGATTTCTGCACAAAAACTAACTTTTAAATAAAATTATTAGAATTTTCCATATTTGACTAAATGTTAAGGACAAAAAGTCAAAAACGTCGTCTTGATTCATCCTGTTGATGTGAGTGTTTGCTGCTTTTCTCTTTTCATTGGTTTTAAACTGTTGGTCTCACAAAAGAAGCTATTTGAAGAGGCAGTTTGATTGTGTTTGTACATTTTCTGATTAATTAACAACAAAAAATCAACAGTTTAGAAAGTTATTGATCATTTCAGCCCTGATAAAAGAACAACTTACTCTTTTTAAATCTTCTGAGGTAAAGCAGCCATCTCACACACACACACACACACACACACACATTATTGGATTTTATTGCACTCATTTGGTGTGTGTGCTCCAGCTGTGTGTGTGTGTGTGTGTGTGTGTGTGTGTGTGTGTGTGTGTGTGTGTGTGTGTGTGTGTGTGTGTGTGTTGACAGATGAAATGTGCGCTGACAGGATTTTTGTCGAACACGGTTGACAGCATGTAAGACAAGCACACAAAACCCCACAAATCCACCGCCAGCAACCCTCCCACTCCAACCCCCACCACCCTCCACCACCACCCTTCAAATGTAAAGCGAGAGAGATGGAAAAGAGATGAATAATAGTGATATTGATTGATGGTGACTGAGGGGAGCGAGCGACAGAGTCGAAATATAGATTGGAGGGACGGAATAGAAATGGATTGGTGACAGAGAGTGAACGGGAGGAGAGAAAGACGGCGAGATGGATATGAAAGATGGAAAGACGATAAAATATCGACAATTATATCTGACTGCAGACAGACAGACAGACAGACAGAGAGAGAGACAGAGAGAGAGAGAAAGAGAGAGAGCTCCTTATTAACGCTGTGTGTTTGTGCTCAGCTGACAGACAGTCGCACACATCTCATTTCCTGCTCTGGAAATAATGGAACCGGCCAACCTGTCAGTCACAGTGCCCACACACACACACACACACACACACACACACACACACACACACACACACACACACACACACACACACACACTTGTTGAATTGGATTTCTTCCAGAAAGTTGTGACCTCCTTAAAAATACAAGTACATGTACGAACCCTAAAATATTAAACTTGTGAACCAACCGGTGTCTGTAACTGTCAAACACAACATCAATAATCTTCCTCCTAACAAGCAAAATGAGGATCTTGTCCTAACTCCTCCCTGCAACTTCAAGCCAAAGATACTGGGAACAACTGATTTAATCTTTAAATCTTTATCTGAGAATGAACTATTGTTACAGTGCCGGATCTACAGGGATTTTCACAGGTTGGCCAGAGGGTGGAAGCAATATCTGCTGATTTAATCTTACAATCACATTTATTAATATTTGCTTGGGAAAGCCCCCAAATGAAGATTTTTAAACTGGAAAACATTATTGTGGCACTGAAATCTGTAGATTGTTTCCAAATCCTTTAACATTTACCTGTTTTTATTGAACTAAACCCCAATCATTAGTGGCCGTAACAGATCGTTAGTTTTCAAATACATTTTAAATGAATGTATTAAATTTGACCCCATTTGACACCAAACTGGGTTGGCCACAGATATTTTATACCACCCCTCTCGATCTGCCCCTGACTATTAACTAAAACTGTTGAATAAATGTAGTGGTTGTCGGAGCTAGCGGAGGTCACGTGCAGCGAGTTGAGTTGCTACCATCAGTTACTAAATGAACATCATGCTGTATGGAAGAAGACTGAAACTAGAGACTGAGACCAGAAACTCATCAGGAAACTGTTTACTGAGCTCATAAATCAACTGAGGAGTCGACTAATTTCTCCATAAGACTGAATGGTATCAGTGTGTTATTGCAACCAGTGGAGCTGCCCCCTTCTGGCCGTTACATAGACTGCAGGTTTAAGACGCTTCATCTCTCTCTCTCTCTCTCTCTCTCTCTCTCCATCCCTCCATCTCTTTCTCCTCTGTCCTGCCACCAGACTGCTGTGGCAGCTGTGTTGCCATGGTAACGCTGCCTGCAGTCAACCCCTTTTTTTTTTTTTTGTGTCACAGACCCTGCCGAGGAAATAAATACTGCTAATTAAATATCACTAATTAATGTTGCTGTTTGTCATTATTCACTCCTGTTGCTTCAAACACACACACACACACACACACACACACACACACACACACACACACACACACACACCAAAATACTGTTGTTGTTTTTTTTTTTAAAGCTTTGTTCTTTTTGGGCTTAAATGTTTAAATAAAGTTTTCAGCCTCAGTTTGATTTTACCTTCACAGTCTGATCCAAGGCTGTGATATCTCGCTGTTGGCTGGTACTTAACTGATTAATATGCGCCACTGGAGGCCATTAAACCTTTCCCTTCCCTGCCGGAGACCATCTTTAAACACATGATGATTGCCTTTTTTTTTTTTTTACTTTCTTCCTTTTCTCTCAATGTCTCGCTCTGGTCCTAATCACAAATTCCATCATGGTTTCAATCATGTGGCCATTTACTGCTAATCAAATGGAGATTCCTCAAACTCTAATATCCTGAGGGGCTGATGAGGACCAATCCTCTCCAAAAAAAATGACTTTTATTAAATGTTGAAAGTCTGCATAAATCCCTCGTTTCCTCTCTCAACCCTCCTTTTTCCCCCTCCATAACAGCCACTTAAATTGTCTCCCTTCTTACCTTTTCGTCCCTTTTTCTCCTCGTTCTTCAATGTCTTCCCTCTCTTTCTTCCTCTCCACCCACCCTGAACCGGCCTCCCTTCCCCTCCCCGGCTGACAGCGAGCTGTTATTTGGCAAAGGGCAGCCGATGATTGGCAGCTCTGTGTGCTCTGACTTCTGATGAATCCTGTCAAACAATCCGCCACTCGCCTTTGTAATTGTAATGAAGGACAGAAAGAAAGACAGCGGGGATCCAAGCGTTTCTTTTATTCAGTTTCTTGTCACACACTCCTGAGGAAGTTTTTTTCTTTACGCCCCCCTCCCCAATTATAGCTGTATTTTGTTACCCCAACCGCTCTCTCCCCGGAGAGGCAGCGAGAGAGCGAGACTGGGGAGGCACAAAGCAGATATTACATTTGCATGTATCTCACAGGCTGGTATATTTCTTGGTTTTTTGCTAAAGTAGGTCACTGTCACTGCAGTTTGCGGCACAAAATCTTCTAAAAATGTGACAGCAAGGCAGCTTCTGTACCTGTTGTGACGAGACCGCCTACCAGGTGCTCTCAGCTGTAATTTACATTTCACTTGGCTTCACTGTTCAAAATACAGACAAGACAAGAAGTGGGAAGTATTATTCAAATAGATTTTAAGAGTGATGTGAATTTTTTCCATAACCCAGCGGCTGGTGGTTCTTGATTTTAAGGGGTAAAACGTACACAGTAGGCCTATATCTAAGCTTCTCATTCATTTCTGTAAAGAAAACTGAATGAATTTGTTATTTTTAAAAGTTAAAGAACATAATACAGACAAAAGATTGAATAAAAAGTCAAATATTGCGTAAGTATTGACTCTGATGCTCAGAATTCATCCACATTGCTTGTTTTACACAAACATTCTGCAGTTATTGGGTTCATTTTTGGGTTAGTCTGTGCCCCCTTGTTCCAAAAATGCCACAAAAGTGCCTTTTTAAATGCCCCTATGATGGATAAAACATGATAAAGTCAACTCAGATAGTAGTTTTATAGCAATAACATTAGATAGCAAGCCAGCTGCAACACAGCTACACTTAATAATGTTAGCCGGCCCCAAGTAACCCATGACACAAGTCACACCTTTAAAATCAAGAAGGCCTCGCAACCCCCTACGAAGCTTTCGTATATATGAGTACTGTAACTAAAGATTAATTTGTGATGATTCTTCTTTCAGTTATTCGTGATAAAAGAGTATGAATCTATAAAATGTAAAAAAAAACATCACATTTGGTGGATAATTGCCGTTTATGCTCAAAATAATGGTCGATTTATTTTATGTCGGCGAGTTCACTGATTGATTATCTAATCGTTTGGGCACTAAAATCCAGTATCACACCAAAGACCGGGGCTCAATGCTAACACTGAGCTCCTGTGGCACACCTGAGAGCGTATACTCATTATTATGCAAATACATCTGAGGAGCCTTGACCATCCTACACACACACACACACACACACACACACACACACACACACGAAAACAGCAGTTTCCACCTCACTGCTGTTTGTCGTTTCTCTTTACAGAGACAGATTGATTCTAGTGTCTGTGAATGAGCCTCATGTTGAGTAATGGTCCACACAAACACAACCGGAGCCCTGGAGTGTGACAGACCTTTGTGTCTCTTAAACGTAACTCCAGCAACACCACAAGATCTTTATGGGACATTTCACACGAGTGCGATGGACACTAACAAGCGTCTGTTTGACTAATAACACGCGTGTTCACTCGACGCTCAGAGACGGATTCCCCATCTGACAGAAAGCAAACGCTCGTATTAATATTTGAGTTTCTGCTCTGTCCAGACGTGCTGCTGAGGAAACTGCATAATTGATGTGGAAATGTCCGACTACCTAATCTCTCCTCCTGTTTCTGAAGCCTCTGCTCTCCCATCCATCTGCGTGGTTCGCCCCTTCGCCCTCGCCGTCTCCCTCCGCTGAATTATTAGTTACACACCGACACGCGGAGCAACGCGTTCCCCTCACACAGACCGGCCTTGAATATTTGTATCCATTACGCCGTGTTGTTTATGTATGGACGTGTCAGGAAGCTTATTAAATAATCTCAGGTTTATTCAGAAGAGCGTCGTCTGTTTCCTGGCCGTCAGTTTGTGCTGCAGATGTTTTATGTTCAGTGCAGGGAGAAGCGTCAGACTGAATTACTGTTTTCACTTAATTATTCAGTGAGTTTGTCTGGTTTTGTTTGGGAGGAGAAGGTTGCTAGGAACCCCGGCTAATATAACAACTTTTAATGTCCTTAAGAAACAGAATAACACTGACCCAAGGAGGATTTCTACCAGTTATAGATCAATAAAAGCAGCTTCCACTATATGAATGATGGCACCAGACAAACCTTTTTTCTTTTCTGACACCTTGTGTATGTTGGGCTCTAAGATTTAACAATAACTTAATTATTAATAACAATATATGGTACAAACATTTTTTATACAACAGAACGTACCATTTTATCTCGGTACACCGCTGCAACCCTAGCTGCGTCGGACCATTGTTGTTGTTTCCTCAAGGGGTCCTTTTCCTACCATTAAGGAATCTCACACTGACTTAATGACTTATTTTATCTATATTTTATATTATATACTAAATCTAGTAGCACTAAACAGTGAACTCAAATAGTGAACACAACCCCCCAGTATGGGCACCGAAATCCTGGAACACTGTACAACAGCAACGGTATTAAAATGAGACATTCTCCTCTCCTCTTTCCTCCTATTTAGTCCATCTCTCTCTCCTCTCTCATGTTTCCTTTTTTAGGCTCAAGTAGTTCTCTCTGTAATTCATTTGTCTGTGAGTCGACTCTTGGTGGGTGTAGCCGTGAGGATAAACACACTTTCTCCTCCTTTATCTAAATCCACTTCTCTCTGAGGATGGAGGAGACAGATTAGTCAGCCCTCTCATCTCTCCACCTTCCACTTTCCTCTCAGCTCACCTAATGAGACACTCCATCAGAGTCTCTGCGTCCGTCCGTCTCTCTCCATCCTTTGTTACAGCCTCTTTCTCTTATTTTTCTCCCTCGCAGTTTAATTCATCCTCGTCACTCCAGCTTCTTCTCTCCCCTCCGTTCACATCCTTGTTCTTGTCCCGCTGAGGGCCAGAAGAAGATGGAAAATGGAACAAGCAGAACACTTCACACATGCGCTTTCATACAGAGGCCCGTTATTTTCTCACTGGTCTCGTAAATTCTCAGGTTTTCTTTCACGTGAATCAAACTGACCCGAGTGCTTTTGGTTTAATTGTTTCTGCTTTGAGGTCTGAAGTTAGAAAACATGAGGGTTCAGGAAGGATTGTTTCCTGCTGTAAATTCACATTTATACCTAAACATGAAAGCCCAGGGGTCTCCTGGGTAATCCAACATATCTATAAGTTCATGTTACAGCCATCAGAATCGGATTTGGGTCAACCCAAAATTATTATTATTTCTTTATTCCTTCCGTTTAAAAACCCCTCACACAACTCGTGCAGTATAATCCAACTCTCATGAATAATTTATAGACGTATGAAGAAAAAGAACTTGCTAATGAAATGATTTCTGGAGTAAAGTTAGACTAGTTCTTCTGTCCTGTGGTTAGACACTCGTAGACTGTAAAGCAGCCAATCTAACTGACCAATAATACGTTACGCCAGCTGCTAACAAACTAAAAGTCAACAAAGAAACAGCTCATAGAGGATCCGCTATTAAAACAACTTGATTAGAGAATCCCTATTTTAAGTTTAATCTTTAGCTTCAGGTCGCCATTAGTGGAGCACATAACAGTTTTTAGCTCTACAATTGGGTGTTTCTGACTTTAACGCATCGTTGTTTCGTGTCCATCAAAGACTCATCCGTCACCAACATGAAGGTTTTACTTCCAGAAAAATAACTCCTCTCACTCCACTGGCTCTCAGAAGATGGATTTATACATTGTACAACTTCATGGTCTCTCCGTTAACTCACCAGCTCCTCTTCCTTTCTGTCTCTCAGGTACCAGCCCACTGGACAGCCCTCGCAACTTCTCCCCCAACACAGCTGCACACTTCTCCTTTGTTCCCGCACGCAGGTGAGACACACACACACACACACACACACACACTCAGGTGTGCAGGGTGTGTATTTGAGGGTCACAGCTGTAGGGGAGGGAAGGATAGAAAACAGATCAATACTGTAAAAAACCTGGATGGAATCAGGGTTATAAAAATTGCTTTTACACAAACATTCAGGCTGATCCGGAGCAGATTTTAGTCTTAGAAAGTCTAAAATAAATAAAACAATCTGAATTTTAGGCCTTAAAATGTCTTAAATATGACTAAATACAGACTCAAGTTGTTATTGTAAGTGTCTGACAGCATTATGGAAAGGATCCCTACAGAGATAGACCTTTAGTTTAACCACAAACAGCCGTAATATCACTATCACTCTCCACCAGACTCCAGAGACAGAAACACTCATTTTACCTTCAGATTATTGTAACTTCATTAAAGTGGACAGAAACAGAATAAAACTCATTAAAACCTTCTCTGTTAGTGTTTCCAACAATCACCAACTCTGGTTTGGTGGAAATAAATCCTTAATTCACCGACGTAGATGATAAAAACAGCAGTTTCAGTCGCTCACAGAGCAGACATGATGAAAGATCCTGCGATAGAAACCCAGACCACCGTGACTCCACTGTATCTTAACATAGCAAATACTTGTTTGCTTCTATATTTATCTTTGAAATCTCATATATAGAACCTTTAATAGTATTTTGTGGGAAATAAAATCCAAATAAAACTCTATAATCAGACAGGAAGTGGAAAAATTGAGGCCATAATGGATGCGCTGTACTCGAGCTTTTAACGTCGATATCTTTGAAACGCTGTGGAACAGCTCAGCGGCCTCGGCGCCCAGAGAGCCGAGCTGCTGCTGCTGATGATAGCGTGTGAGCTGATGAGGAGACAGATGATCACTCTGAGGCTGTCACTCAAACCGGGATTAATAAACCTCTTATCTGTCTGGGCGCTCGGCACAGATAGTAATTACTGAGAGGGAGAGGAGGGAGTAAGAGTGTGTGTTTCTTGTGTTTTCTCTGTGTGTGTGTGTGTGTGTGTGTGTGTGTGTGTGTGTGTGTGTGTGTGTGTGTGTGTGTGTGTGTGACTTTCTGCACGTACCTGTGACAGACAGATACACACATGTTCAGATTTTAAACCTGACATGAAGAGAATGTACGCTCCTATCAAAGTTTGCTATAATGTAAAGAAATCCCCAGCGAGGATAAATCTTCGTTAAGATGATGATGTTTCCATGGTAACGCACCTTCCCTGCCTCCGGGCTATTTCCATGACAACATCATCAAGCGTTGCGTGGCAGCAAAGCGGCACTGCGGCAGCCAAAAAGAGCATTAATGTTGATTTGATTTGGAAATCCTTCTCCGTCCGGCTGCTGACCTCAGTGCTGCAGCTGCATGGCGGTCGCCAGGGCAACAGCGACACCGCGTGGCTGAGGACGATATGACACGTCATTCATTTGAGGGTCGTTGGCTGGTGGCACAAAAAGCCTTTTCTTTGTCTCTTAGAACAGTGGAGCTGGCATTGTTTTATGTTTAATTAAACAGCAACCATAAATCAGTGATAATTCTGTAGGTTCTTTCTCTACTTAGAAGCTTTTATTTTTGGTTTGGCTTTTGTTCCTTATGATTGAAGACGTCTCTCAGTTTCCTGGAAACTGCTGGAATCAAATAAAAATAACCTGCAGTACATTGTTCTTCTACAAAGCTCCAAAAGTCCGTTCAAAAGTTCTGTTATTACTTTTTTTAAAGGCACAAGATTAAGAATCTTTGTGGACTTTTTGGAAGCGCCGTATTATGTATTAATATTTAATATCAAAGAGCTGAGTTTATTGGATTATTTCACACATTTACAGTTGTATTATATATTGTGTCTGCATTTATTTATACGGTTATTTCAGTCATAATGTCTAGGTGTCTCTATAAAACCCTAAGTGCAGCAGTTATATTCATATTTAAAGGAAAATATAGCACCAATCTTCCTCCTGCAATCGCCTGCTACCAGCAAGTACAAGTCGTGACCTGTTTTATAACTGTTCAAAAATCCCAAACATGAGGTATGAGTGCTGTGTGTCTGTCTGTCTGTCTGTGTGTCTGTGTGTGTGTGTGTGTGTGTGTGTGTGTGTGTGTGTGTGTGTGTGTGTGTGTGTGTGTGTGTGTGTGTGTGTCACTGACAGCTGCCAACAGCTATAAAAAGAAAACCATTGTCTTGTCTCCCTCACAGTCACGGGCACAGGGCTGACAGGTAACCCTCTCAGTTTTGACCTTAAACCTTTTTCTCCTCGCTCTTCCTGCCGCCACCTTCCCGCCCTCCGTCCCGCATGGCTGAGCGTTCACACTCGACGAGGACTCCCCCCGAGCAGGGTCTCGTCCTCTGCTGTGACACCCACTGAGCCAAAGATACAAACTCTCTCTGGAGTCTTTGGGGCCCAGAAGTTGGGAGAGAAGCTCTGGGTTCAGTTATATTGGATGAGGCTGGAGATGGTCCATGTTTTTCTTGTCACAAATCTCATAAACAGACAAAAACAGACACTGAATGTATTTACTAACACAGTATGTCTCATATATCTTCTTCCTCTGTGCTCCATTGATGTCCCAAAATGATTAAAACCACATTAATGTTCCTTCATTACCATGAATACACAGGCTGTCTTTGTTACCACACATCCTGGAAATGATCTGTGTTGTCAGATATCATACAGGAATTAATTCTCAGTCCAGAGGAAATGCTGCAGACGGTCATATCTACATTCATACAGCTATTAATGATCAGTAATCAGTTCCACAGTGATGTTAATTACACGTGAAACACTTTCTAGACGATGAATTTTCTCTAAAATAAAATCAATTCTATTTTATTTGAACTGGCGCTAAGGGACTGTGGCCAAATTAATGTTGTGTTTAGAGGTAAAACTGCAGTAAACTGCAGTCAATTGTCCCGTGACCACCTACCTGTAATTAACCTGCATCATAAAAAAAAGGAGGATTAAAACTGTTAAATGTGTCAATAGAAGCCAAAAATAGGATTAAATTATTAAATATCCTGGAAAAAGTCCCAAATACTCACTAGCAGATAGCACCAAGTATGGATTAATCCTTAGCAAATGCTCTATTTCCTTTTATTTCTTTAAAAAAAAACTTCAGTGAGAAGTGATTTTAGGAAATGACACTATATATTTGTGTTTTTAAAGATTAACGTTGTCAGTAGGAACCAGTTGAGCTGAGAATCACAGACAGGTCTGTCCAGTTTGGTTCTTTTTGTGGGATTTGCTGACAGGATAACAGCTGGCTTAGATTTTAATAAACTGAATGTAAAAGGTGTTTAAAGACCAGCAGGGAGCAGACGAGTCGGAGTGGACTCCATCACGCTTTACTCAATGTCTGCAGCGTCTCAGTGGATCCTCCTCATGGCTTTTGTCTGCACATGTTGTCCTTACGTTTGCATTTTCCCTCCTTTCCCCTGAATCCCTTTTTTTGCTGTATATGATGGCGCTGCATCTCCCTGACATGGCTGCTCTGGAATATGTGTTTAAATATTAACGGTGGATGTTTGTTCCTGATGTCTTCACCTCTGTTTGTCCCCTCAGGACGGATGGCAGACGCTGGTCTCTGGCCTCGTTGCCTTCCTCTGGCTATGGCACCAACACCCCCAGCTCCACTGTCTCGGTAAATATCCTCACTGTTCTCCGTGTTTCTGCATGTAACTGTGTTTTTTTAATGATCTGTGGACCCCAAAAACCCAGAAGTAAATGCTTTTGCTCCCTCTGACTTTACCGCAAAGCCCTTGTTCTCCTTTCTTCCTCCTCTCTGATGTCCTCAAGTGCTTCCTGGCCTCTCTCCTCCTCCTCTTCCTTCACTCCTATGAGTCGTCCCTCTGGTCTAATCCTCTCTCCTTCTCCTTTACCTTCTGCTGCTCCTTCATCTCCAATCTCAATCCCCCTGGCGTGCAGTTTCTCCCTACCTGCCGCCTGTAGAATGAGGCTCAGCATGCTTCAAAGGCGGCGAGCGGAGTTAGCCGGCTGTGCGAGCTCTTAACTCGTAGATCCAGGCTGCTAGCGTAGCTGCTAGCTCACTGTGTTTACAGAGGACCGAGGCCCGTTTGATTCTGCTCATGATGGAATTTTAAATGATGTGTTAGATGAAAAGAGCTTCCCTCGGTGCTCAGTTAGTATTGATTTGGTATTTAGTGAGATAAATTTGGTGGAAAGGTAAAACCAGTGTTTCAGAATCATTTTAATGTGTGTTTTGCACCTGTTTAACATTTCAATATAGGCCTTTAAATGCTGATGGAGCAACAGTAATAAAACTGGTTTTCCAACCAAATTGAACCCAGTTTTAATCCAGATGTTTGGCTGTGGTTCGCTTTAAATTAACACACTTAATCTTCAGTTGCTGTTGAGCTCCAGTCCGCCTCTGTACGCTGTGAAGAAGCCCAGCTGTAGACCACATCTGGAGCTTTGAGCTTAGATTGCCTGCTCTCATTCAATAGTTTTAAAGCTGCAGCATACAGATGACGTGGTACAAAAACGTAAGGATATCATAGCGTGTACATTTGCTTATCTACAGCGTTGAATTCTACTGTATCAGTGTTATTAAAAATATGATTGTTAATAATAAGAATAATTGTGTTATACCTGGCAACCGTGATAGTTCCTGAGACGGTTATCGTACCATGAAAATCTCTTAGCGTTGCAACCCTTAATGGTGTCTATGCAGGTAGGTTTCACATAAAGAATCAGAATCCAGTTAGTTAAAAGTTAGATATTTGTTATTATTATTAACACTTTAACATCCGCATCGAATAATGTTAGCATCTCTGCCAGTTTCAGAGAAGGGCACAGGATCACAGCTCACATTGTAAAGTGTAATTTTACTGGAAGTTTCTCCGCTGGCTTCAGGTGTTTGGAGTAATTTGACCACTGGGCCTCATAATTCTCCTGTGCTCCGATGCTGAACCTGCACACCCTGTCCTCTCCTGTAACTAACCCCCCCCGGCCTGGACTAAGCCCTAGTCTCAGCCTAGCTCTGGCTTAACCCCCCGCAGTAGCTCCAGTGCTGGTTGTAATCTGTGCTCCCTCTGTGCTCCTCCTCTCACAGTCCTCCTGTTCATCTCAGGAGAAGCTGCACCAGCTGCCGTCCCAGCCCACTCCAGACGAGCTGCACTTCCTCACCAAACACTTCAGCTCCGAGAGCATCACAGACGAGGAGGGACGCCGCTCCCCTGCCATGAGACCGCGCTCCCGCAGCCTCAGGTAGGAGTCACAAACACTGCCTGTGCTTCCATCCTCCAGCTGCCACCGGCTGCAGCTAACAGAACATATTCAGTCAGTCCATCGTAAGCATGAAGTACAGAAGCACACGAGTAGATGCAGGTCTCCTCTGGGGCTGATGGGTAATGTGACTCTTGACTGTTATTGGGGTGAGTGCAGGATTAACAACATTATTAACCTGTAGAGTTCACGGAAGAACAGTTGTATTGGATTGCAGTGGAGTGTACAGATGTACCCAATAACCTGAGGCGGCTGTATCTCAGGAGTTGGAGCCACTAATCCAGTTGGTGGTTCGATCCCCGGCTCCTCCCGCCACATGTCCATGATACTGAACCCCAAATTGCCCCTGAAGCTGTGCCATCAGTGTATGGATTAGGGGGTATATCTTGACTGAAAGGGAAGGGAAGAGAGAGAGGGTTGGAATCAAACCTGCTGAACTTCAGCCTCAGTACACGGCTCTACCAGGGCGCCCTGTAGTACTTCTTTTACTCAGATTTGATGCATGTGGTGGTTAGATTCTGCAATATATTGCTTGTTGTTGCACAGATGTTTTTTGTTGCTCAGCTTGTTTTGTTTTTAAATGATGGCCAAAACTCTGAAAATAAAACCCCAGCTATAATAAACTTTATTTGTTCAAGACTGAACATTAAAAAGGACCTGACGTGAATCCGATGATCCAGAATTTGCATACCTCGGTGCTCTGGGTCTTGTGTTCTTTGTGTGAGCCTTCAGAAAGGTCAGACTCGTCCCTCTGACGTGTTTGTGGCAGCTGAGAGCGAGCAGAAACTCCTCACTGTCTGTATCAGTGACACTCACCTGTCCACCTGTGGATCCGTCCGTCCGTCTCCAGCCCAGATGTCTTTTGTCTCGTCCTGATTCTCTGTCTCTGTCCTATCAGGAGCTGCTTTTAGGTTTCACCCACTTCAGCCTTTTTGGTTTACTGATTTTCAGCTTGTCTCTGCCTTTCTGTATCACCCAACCTCCTTCACATGTTCTTTATTTTAATCACCTCCATCTCTTCCTCGTCCTTATCTCTGTTTCTTTACAGAGAGATACTGAATTATTTCATCCTGCCAGATGAAAGAAGGCGAGACTGAGTTACATGGTGTGTGTCCGATTAGAGTCCCACTGTGTTTGTTGATTGATGTCAGGCTCTGTGTGTGTGTGTGTGTGTGTGTGTGTGTGTGTGTGTGTGTGTGTGTGTGTGTGTGTGTGTGTGTGTGTGTGTGTGTGTGTGTGTGTGTGTGTGTGTGTGTGTGTGTGTGTGTGTGTGTGTGTGTGTAAAGTGCCATCTCAGGTAATCCACCATCACCATGTGTCCTTATTTCACTTCTCGTTCTCTCTGGAAAATAGAACAGAATCAGAAATCATGAAAAGGGTAAAAGATTCAGATGAGATGTTATTAAAATGTTTAACTTTGTATCAGAAATATCATCAAATCTGTAAAGTGCTGCAATTATCAGGGTTCCCACACTTCCTGCGAAACCTGGAAATTCAGGGACTAGTTTACCTGTCATGGAATTAAAATATCCTGGAAATAATCTGTGTTTTGCTGGAGAATTTCTCTCAGATTACGTATGTTTGAAGCTCGACTGTTGGAGGGATGAGCTGCACACTGAGACAATTCAAAGCGAGTTTACCAGAAGTGGGAAAAGGCTCCTTTTCCCACTTCAGTTCGTCCATCGTAAGCATGAAGTACAGAAGCACACGAGTAGATGCAGGTCTCCTCTGGGTCTGATGGGTAATGTAGGACTCTTGACTGAGCTGTTATTGGGGTGAGTGCAGGATTAAAAACATTATTAACCTGTAGAGTTCATGGTAGAACAGTTGTATTGGATTGCAGTGGAGTGTACAGATGTACCCAATAACCTGAGGTGGCTGTATCTCAGGAGTTGGAGCCACTAAAAGGCTCCTTTTCCCATTTCTGCTCCCATTTTTTGCCACTAGCATCAAACATTTGGCATCAGATCTATTTTTGGAAATGCTGCAGATGTTATTAATGATCACATTTACTTTTGTTGTTGTGGTTGATAATTGTTAATTGTACGTGCAACGAATACTTTCTACCTCTTCTTTTAATGGCTAACAGGTTAGAAGATGAATTCAGAGTGTCCCATACACACGTTGTCTATTGTCAAGAACAACTCCTGGAAAATGATTCCTTAAAAAGAGTTTTATTTCACATGGAGGTGACTTTGAATAGTGTTTCCACTGTCGGCCCCCCTCTCATGTGCCGGGTGGATGAGCCTCAGTGGAGAGCCCGACATCATATTAGTCCACCAGCAGCGAGTGTCATTAAAAAGCTCTTAGTGAGCAGCCTGCAGACTGTCTGCGAGTCCAGATAAATACCCAACACAGAGCTGTGCAGAGGGAGAGCGAGGATTAGGGTCCTGGCTCAGTTCTGGATCCAGTTTTAAGATGATAAAAAACACACTGAGATCTGAAGAGGAGGCTTAAAAAAAAGACGTGGTGAGTGAGAGCAGAGAGATGATTATTGGAGAGGGAAGGGGAGGAAGAGGAGGGAGGAGGAGGAGGAACCAGTGTGTCTGAGAGAGAGTGAACAAATGACAATGAGGAGCAGAGCACAATTATATGCTAATTTAACGACTTTGCTGTGAGTGATCACACCCTTTTTTATAATTTAACAGTTTTCTCTCCTCGCTCAGTCCGTTCATCTGTCAGTCTGTCTATCATATCTCCCCCGACTGCCTGTCTGCCTGTCTGCCCTTCTGCCTGTCTGTCCTGGGAATGAGCGAACCACATCCATCCATCATACCTGTGCCTCTGTTACAGGCTTCAGTTGCTGCCCCCCCCACATTGACTTCCTGTCTGGAAAACCACATTTTCTATCCATCATACATATCAGAGCTCACATAATATATATAAAATATCTCCTCTGGTGTGTTCAAACACACTCTGGCTCGTGTTTGTAATGGTTTAGACTCTCCACACTACATACAGAGTCAGGGCTGGAGCCAGTGTGCAGTTATTCTCTGTGAGTAGGGAACAAGTAAATGCGGTAGATGGAGACAGCAGCAGATAAGTCACATACAGTAACAACATAAAGACACACAAATAGTTAGAAAAGATGTAAAATAACAAAAGTGAAACTTCATGCACAGATATTTCACATTAAAAGCCTTTTTAATAAAGTCTCAGGGGTATATTTTTCCCATTAGACGGACGGCATCAGGGGTGGGAGGAAGGTGGGCAGTGGGATCCCGGGATTTCAGCTAAATGAAGATTAAAGCAGGTTTTTACAGAACAAAAACAAAGGAATCAAATGTATTCATCATAATTCAACACAAGGCTGTATATGAAGGTTTGTAGTTTCTTCATGCTGCACACACAGAAAAAGATCATTAAATCCATAGAATAACATAAAACACGAGTAAACAGAATCACATAAAACAATATATACAGTTATACATATATATCTGTGTGTGTGTGTGTGTGTGTGTGTGTGTGTGTGTGTGTGTGTGTGTGTGTGTGTGTGTGTGTAGTATTCACCTGTGGGACAGACACACTCTACTTCCCACTTCCTGGAAGGCTTTTAATGTGACACCCCTGCAGGAAGTGACGGTAGCTTAGCACCGATCAACAGAACAAGCAAAGCAGAATTGATTTTAAATCATTTATATAATTGAGAACAACATAGAACAGTAACACATAACTCTGCATCCGTTGTTGGCCATGTAATTAGCTATCATTGGCTATAAAGGGGCGTGGCTTAGGAAGTGTCAGTTAATACACATAATGCTGAACACATTGAGCAGATCAGGAATAAAGGTCTGCTTCCTCTTCCTCCTCCTCCTCCTCCTCCTCCTCCCAACACCTTTTCAGGAGATTTTTACTGAGATGTTTTTAGTGGAATCATGAATCTCATCAGAGGGGAGTTTCACACACACACACACACACACACACACACACACACACACACACACACACACACACACATACACACACACACACACCAACATCTCATCCCCGTTCTGCTCCACTCTCTGTCACGGTCAATTAGGCCTCTCATTTCCCGAGCCGCCCGCCTCAGTTGTGAAGCATCAATGTTATTTTTCTCTCACATACACACACACACACACACACACACACACACACACAGCTACCTCACCCTCCGATTCACTGTCTCGTCTGATTTACTTCACTTACCGTCTCCACCAATGAGCTCTTTTGCATTTTGAGTGCCTTTTGTCGTATGTGACATCACCACTTAGGTCGAGGAGGAAAAAAGAATTAAAAAAAACCTGACAACGTTTTAATTATCGGATTTTATAAAAACACCCTCGGGTTGAAACCTTTTATGTTAGATTCTGCTTCATAAATATTCCCTGTCTTTCTCACAGTCCTAACTTTTGAACTTGCAGCCTCGCATTAAAACAGAAGAACTCTCCCACAACTTCCCTCCGAAGCCTCGTCTTCAAGGTCGTTCCTCAAAATAATGACAAAGACGTTTTCTCTTTTTTTTCTGTTTTTGTGTGAGGGATTGCTGCGAGGCGATTTTTATTTCCCATTACAGTAGAAATATAGCCGCGTTGTAATTAGCCTTTGTCTGGCTTTCTCATGTTATTCATCCCGGGGATTTCACTCCGACCTCCGCCGCGGCTCGCTCTGAACGAGAGCTTTATTTTAATAAAGGCTCGGGCTGCTCAGAGCCACAAGAAGAATAACGCACAGAGAGGAAGGAGAGAAAGAAGAAGAAGATATTCTGTGAAAATTAAAGAATGTACATAACAGCCTCTGGCACTGAATCCGTCTCTGTCAAGGCTAACCTTTAATTACTGAACCCCGCTGGCAGAGCCGGCCCGGTTGTGATTGATTTTTCTTTTTCCAGAAACACGAACATGAAAGGAGAGTTGAAGGTGTTAGAGCTCCGAGTGACTGACGTACATCAGTAATGCTGGAGTGTGTGTGTGTGTGTGTGTGTGTGTGTGTGTGTGTGTGTGTGTGTGTGTGTGTGTGTGTGTGTGTGTGTGTTTGTGTGTGTGTGTGTGTGTGTGTGTGTGGGCCAGTTCAACCAAAGTACAAATACACAACTTAGCTTTAAAATAACTCTCTGACTTTCTCTTTTTAACTGACTGTTCTTTACGTCGGAGTTAGGTTGCTTACTGCAGGTGGAAACTCAACACTTCCTGTTTGTTTTCACATTAAAAGACTTACCAGAGACACCACAACAACAGAGCAGGTTAAAACAAAAGGGGCAGGTGTGTGTGTGTGTGTGTGTGTGTGTGTGTGTGTGTGTGTGTGTGTGTGTGTGTGTGTGTGTGTGTCTGTGTGTCTGTGTGTGTGTGTGTGTGTGTGTGTGTGTGTGTGTGTGTGTGTGTGTGTGTTACCTGTCACTGTGTGTGTTCGTGATGATAATAAACAGCCTCCATGACGTTCAGCTCATATGTCACATTCAGGCTGCTCTCATTCCCATTAAGCTGGTAATTGGACTTTGAGCTGCCGATGGATGACTTAAAGCATTACCTCATCGCACTGGTCACGTCTGTGTCTGTGTGTGTGTGTGTGTGTGTGTGTGTGTGTGTGTGTGTGTGTGTGTGTGTGTGTGTGTGTGTGTGTGTGTGTGTGTGTGTGTGTGTGTGTGTGTCGATGACTCACTAACAGACATCTGGAGCCCCAAATTCGTATTTTCACCTCACCTGCCTCAGTTTGTAGCTCTCAGTCTCTCGAGGAATTTCTTTCTATTTGTTACATTTATCATATTTAATTGTATTATATTTATATACATCATTATTTAATTTTATTATATTTATATAAAATATCATTTAATTTTATTTGGTTTGATTAATATTATTTTATATAGCTTTTTTTTTTTACATTAATTTTATTGTTTTGTGTCATTTGCTTAAAGGTTTGAATACAAGTTCAATTAAAGACTAGTTATCCAGTCATTGAAACATCTGGAATATTATTAAATTGACTTTATTTACGTCACTAATACATTTCATTAATATTATTACAGTTTGATTTTAATGAACAAGTCTGAATTCTGGGGAGAAAGAACACAGTTACAGATTGTGTAAGGGACTTTAACTAGTAGGGTAACTAATTACTGTTGGAGAGGAGTAATAAGAGTAAAATAATAATACTACTTTGCATTATTAAAATGAGTCAATACAAAGCCGGCTGGTACATTAAATGATAAAATGATTTCCTGTACAATCTTTAAAAAGAGCCGGAACCCTGTTAATATTCTTAAGAACTCTAAAAACCAGATTTCAGGACAAAAATGAATTTATTAACTGTCACGGGAAACAAACACTAAAATTGCAGTTGCAATATTTAGGAGAAAATGTTTACAGTCATAACTGGATGCAATGAATAATTCAGCAGGCTAACAAACCCTAAAATTGCTTTGAATTACATTTCTCACACACACTCTCTCTCTCTCTCTCCTCTCCCTGTCACCTGCTGTCGTCCACTATTCTCTTATTCTGAGACACAGAAAAAGGTCAAGGATATTGCTGCTGTCGCTGTTTGGTCTTACAGTAAAGAGAGATTGGAGGTTGTGGGGGGGTCGGTGGGGGAGTCGGGGACGGAGGGGGTTGTGTATGATAGAATAAGAAAAGAGAGATGAGTCCCAGGAGGAGGGAAATGGAGAGAAAATGGAGTCCACTGAGTGAAAGACAGATGGATAGATATTCTGCTGGAGCTGTTGTGGACTGAAGGAGACGTCACTGTCAGTCTGTCAGGTTCATGAAAGCCCCCCCCCCCCTCACCCCCTCCTCTGCAGGGAGGCTTTATTACTGACACACACACACACACACACTCTCACACATACGTGGCGGTCCGGTGGTCTCCAGAGGCGTTACCTTTGTGCCCCTGTGTGTGTGCAGCCATGTGAGTCCAGAGGTTGTCATGGTCCTCAGTTTACACTGCTGAAGACACACATATGATGAAGAGGTCCTGTTAGTGTGTGTGTGTGTGTGTGTGTGTGTGTGTGTGTGTGTGTGTGTGTGTGTGTGTGTGTGTGTGTGTGTGTGTGTGTGTGAGAGACCACCCTCCTGCCTTTATTCCTCCCTGCGCTCTGGTGACCTGAATCCTGTCTGTCACATCCAGTCTGGTCAGTTGTGTCTCTGCAGCTCAGGAACAGGCACTCCTCTATGAGGACCAGGATAGTCCAACACACACTGCTGAACCAGTAGAGCCGTCACACATGTAAAAACACAGCAATAAATTCTATCTAACAATGTGATACATAAATTAAACTTTTCCTGTTCAAATCCCATTAAAAACATTGTCAGCTACGTTGTCTAAACCTCTTTCTACTCACCCCAGTTTGTCCTTATCGTGTGGAGTCATTACAGAGAGTCACAGAGTCTGAAAATCTCTGAAAAACCAAAAGTCATCTGGCTTCTATCTTTGTTTGGATTAGGAAATAAAGTCCCAACCTCTGGAAACAAATTAAAAATCTTTTTTATCCAGATGCTTGAAAGAACATTTAAGGATTGTGCAAATACCTTCAGAACCGCTGCAGGGCCTCGTGGGTTTTTAAAAGATTGTCTAGGGTTTATCTTTCAGACTACGTGAGGAGCACAGACTGGAGACCCAAACGTTGTTATATATTGACAACCTATCCGGGGATTCTGGGGAGAGTTCAGGTTTTATGAGGTAACATAATCAGAAGCTGACAGGAGTACCAGCTCAGAAGCAGAGCAGTGCTGTGGATGCAACCAAATGTGTTTTAGCCACAAAAAAAGGCTTTATTTAGAACATTTTCACTCCTTCTGATGGGAAACTGAAGCCTCGTACCGCTCTCTTCACAGCCACCAGACTCCTCTGATAAAAACAGTCATTTTACCTCGCAGAGCACAGGAGGAGGTGCTGGTTCACCGCTGCCTCGATCCACAGCAGCTAACATTAACTCAGAGCCAAACTAACTCTTTAAAACACCAAAGTTACACAATAAACAAACCAACCGATAGAGGTCTGCAAGGTTGAATTACTCAACACTGAAAGAACTGAAAATATTCTAAATATATGGTACACTTCGATTTTTTAGGTGTGTAAATGCATTTTGTCGCAGCTCCACAGCAGCACATTGCTTAGCTTTCTATTATTTCTTTAAACTCTGAACACGCCGACTTCTGTAGGTGATACACTGAATATGGATAAATACCTCATACAACCCCCACTTATAATATCCAAAACTATCCTTTTAAGCTTCCTAAACATTTTTAAAGCATTGTTTTCTTCCACCTGCATGTAAAAGGTAACAGAAAGGTCAAACATATACTGGTCACAAGTGTGTGCATCAGTGCTCAATAAATAATATAATAATGCATTTTTAGAGGTTTCAGAAGTTAGAATTGTAAAAGAAGTAGTGTAGTTTAATGTTTCTTGATTTAACAACATGGAGGTTGATGCCTCTGTTTCCACTTGTGGTCTGAATTACAAAAGACTCTGCAGGAAGTCTGACAACGTCATTAAAGCTTCCACTCATCTGTATCTGTGTTTCTGTTTCTGTTTCAGTCCCGGGCGCTCGCCTATCTCCTTCGACCATGAGATTGTGATGATGAACCATGTGTACACTGAGAGGTTCCCCAAGGTTTGTGCTGCAGACTCACTGTACAGAATGAATCCACTGTGGATGTAACAGGATGAGCAGACACATCGTGTGCTCATTGTGTGTTTTGTGATCTCGATTTAGATCAGTTCCCAAACTTTATGTTTATGTCTAAGTTATTTTTGACGCCACACTTCCTGCAGCTGCTTAAAGAAAAGGCAGTTCTCTTTGCTGGAGGGCTTTTATTGTGAAGAACCTGCAGGAAGTGTGATCAATGATCAATGTTAACTCTCAGACTTTAGAGTTAGGGTCCAGTTATTGTCAATATTGGTGTGAATGTTATTATGAAGATGTAATCTGGTGCTCAGGGTTGTGTGTCGGCCTGCAGGCATGTGTGAATAATTCCTGGTGTAATGTGAAGGGATTAACTCTATATAATATCTCTCATTATAGTGAACACGTGCAGGTGTTTGCTCACGTATGTTCTCTGGTATGCTCCTCTATGACTCATCCTTGTCTCCCCCCTCCCTCCCTCTAATTGCCTCCCCCCCTTCCCTCCCCTCAGGCGACGGCTCAAATGGAGGAGCGTCTGGCTGAGCTGCTCTCCTCCACGGCCCCGGATAAGGTCTGCCCGCTGGCCGACGGGGTCCTGAGCTTCATCCACCATCAGCTGATAGAGCTGTCCAGGGACTGCCTGGAGAAAAGCAGAGACCGCCTCATCACCTCCCGCTACTTCTACGAGCTCCAGGAGAACCTGGAGAAGCTGCTGCAAGATGTAAGTGGAACAACAGTTTATTCACTCCAAAAAAGCAACTTTTAGAAAAGTAACTGTGTAAGATGGTGAAACACGATCCGACCTGTGAGATCTGAATGCGATCTGATTGGACTCCAAAAATACGGGTATGAAAATGTCTCCGTGCACCAAACAGCTTCAGTTTTGTGGAGATTTATTTTAATATTTTTAATGTCTGACAAGGACAAGCTTATTCATATAACACCATTACAACATAAAAACCAGTGACAGGGATTCACATGTGGCATTAAATCCATTAAACAACATAACACAAAAACTGATCAACATCTCTTATTTATTCAACAGTTTTATATACAGTTTATATATTAAACACTCAGTAGTTTATATATTAAACACTCAGTAGTTTATATATTAAACACTCAGTAGTTTATATATTAAACAGTCAGTAGTTTATATATTAAACAGTCAGTAGTTTGTATATTAAACAGTCAGTAGTTTATATATTAAACACTCAGTAGTTTATATATTAAACACTCAGTAGTTTGTATATTAAACAGTTCACTCTGTGTCGAGCAGGAAATTGAGCTTCCAGACGCTTATGAATCAGCATCATTTTTGCGTCACCACTTTAGAGTTGCATGACTAATATTCTATCGTATCAATCTATCATAAGCAGAGAATTGCATTGTGGGTTTCCTAAGATTGCTTTTGATTGCACACGGAGAACTGGAGCACAGGAAGAACAATCTCCTCATTATTTCTTATAAATTAATGTAACCGGTCGTTCCTGGAAAGGGTTCAGATCTGTAATTAGAGGGAAACTGGAGACACTGTTAACTTCCAATTAAGTGCTAATGTAACTTATTGAACTCAGTGTGAGGTCGGCTAACTGAACATATAGAAATCAAACGTTACGAACGCCTCAAATAAAACCTTCACATTTATTTCCTCTATCGATAACTCAAAATGTCCGCCGGCCTCCGATGAAGACATCATGACTGTGGCACCTTGCTCGTCACGCTCAGTTTACCGTGGAACAACTCACGGCGTGACGCGCTCCTCCGTCCACTCATCACGGGTTACGACCGCCGTGTGATGTCATACGAAGGCACAAAGACTGCGGCCCCCGGCTGCAAACACACAAACTCTCACACATTCCTTCACCACCGCTCTGGTTCTGCTCGGCATGCTGGGAGCATTCGGGACAGTTGTTGTGTGAACACAGAAATATATTTACATGTCTGCGGCAGCGGTGACATCTCTATTAGCTCAGTTTTCCAGAGCCCTGGGGGCGGGGGGGTGACATTATGGCTCCCACCGGCCTCTTATTGACCTTCTGTTCTACTGGGGGACACACACACACACACACACACACACACAAACTATCTCTCAATCATAGACACACACACACACATATGCAGGCGAGCACACACACACCCGATTTTAATTTCACACTCCAGCAGTCACCGGGGGCTGACAGATGACTCTCGCAGACGAGCAGGAGGAGGTGAAGGAGGTGCAGTCGGAGGGTTTTTTGGGCTGGGCGGGGATTCCAGGGGATTCCTCGGCCTCTGATTGGCCGGTGGGCTCGCGGAGGGGAGGTCGGATGTGTGTGCACGGAGCCCGTTTGAATGCTTTTGGAGGGTGTGAGGAAACTGGACTCGAACACATCTGGCGGTGATGCTGAAGCTGCAATGCGGGCTGGATGATGACATCACCAATTAGGCGGCGTTAGGTTGTTGTGGGGGGGGTTTTTGGCGGGCGGCCAAGTGCAGGCAGCAGGTGGAGCAGACCTCCAGAGGAGAGAGAGGAGAGGATGAGGAGCAGGTGGACGGAGGTGTGAGAACGGCCTCCCCGCCTGCGCTGTTTATGGATCGTTTTTTGGGGTTTTTTCGGTGGAAACATGTCTCGAGTATCGTGGCAGACGAGGCTGGTGGAGGAGGAGGTGCTGGAGGAGGTGATGAGGAGGAGCGAGTGGAAGGTGTTCACTCACAGCTGGGAGGAGGAGGAGGAAGAGGAGGAGGCAGACGCAGGCTTTACAGTTGAGTCCATTTCGGTTTCAGTCGAGCTTTATTGGACGATGTCTCCGGAGCTTCGGGCTGTTAGCATTGTTAGCTTTTGATGCTAATAGTTAGAAAGTGAATCAACTCTCTGTAACTTTGAATCGACTCTGAGCTCCGGGTTGGTTTTATGTCACACAGAAAGTCATTGATTTGTGATTGTTTATCAGTTGTCTTGGCGTGGTGTTTTGAGACCGCTTTTAAAAAATATTCCCTAAACTAACTGAGCTCGTTCCAGAGGTCGCTGACACTTACATTAATTATTAAATCTTCTCGTCATCAGTCAACCGCTGTGGGTGTTTTTTTTTTTGTGTCTGTGGCTCGTTAATAATTCAGACATTTTAATGAGTCATTGGGGCATTTTTACTGATGTTCAGTATTTAAATAGATTCTTTAATTAAGCACTGAAGGGACAATATGCTTTTTAGACTATATTGTAAGTCGTACACAAATTATTTAATGCCTCTGGATTAGTTTTTCCTTTCAGGACATTACAGGCTGATGGTGCATTCACTGCTCTGTTGTGTGAGTTTAGTTGAATATTTGAGAACTGTTGGACACTCAGATGTCAGGAAGATCCTTCGGTATCGGGACTGAGGTCTGAACTCTTATCAGGGTCAGTTCACCCAAATCACAAAGAAGAATGTGCTCACTTTTAACTTGTATCTAACCATGAAGACACTGTTGGTTTGATAATGTGGATGTATTATAGATCAGAATTTATTAAGGTCTGTAACTTTATATTGTATTAAGATATGAATACATTCGTAGCGCTCGACTTAAAGGAATAGATCCACAGTGCTTCATCAATCATCTGACGGTTAATATCATCACATATCGTCACCCCAGAAATATCAGCCTCCTCAGTTCAGTTAGAGTTAATGGAGTTTCTTTATTTAACAGTCAACAGTAACTTTTCTCTCTAGAAACAGTCAATGATTTGAGTGAACTGACCCTTTAACTGTAAGAAAACCCAGACACTGATTCTTTGTAGTTCTTATTGTTAAACCGTGTAGTTGTTCTGTTGTGAGATATTAATCAATCCTCCATCAGATCAGGTTTGTTTTCAGCTTTTAAAATCACTACATTTTAGTTTTCATCCGTCCACGTCTTCAGGTCTCAACCCTTTGCCTTTGTCCTCTTTCCTTATCCATTTCTTTATTCATCCATCCGTTCTTCCTCCCCTCGTGTCACGACCCCATTACAGAGCTCGCAGGAGGCCGACTCACCTCTCCTCCTTCCGTCCTCCTCGGCTCCCGCTCTCGTCCTTTTATCTCTCCTCCACCTTTTACCCTTCTCCCTCCTCTCCACTCGCTCGTCCTCTCTTCCTCTCCCCTCATCCATCCCTGTCACATGGGGGGGGGGGGCCTTAGTGACCTGCCAGCCGGTCACCATGGCAACCTGCATCCACTCCATCCTCTGCTTGGAGCCCCTGGGAGACCCCCTCCTGTTAGACCCTTGTAGGTCACCTGAGGGCAGAGGGGAAGGCAGAGTGCTAACTCAGCTCTGGTGATCCGTCAGCGAGCGTCCGTCGGTGGCTCCGAACCTCCATTGTGTTTATTGGGGGGGGGGTCAGCGACAGCTGCAAACATCTGGCTTTAATCGGCTTTCAGGTGGAAACTTCACCTGAAAGCGCTGAGCGTGCTAACAGGCTGCACGAGAGGTGACGTCACCTCTGTAAGCACTCACAGGTCTTCCACATTGATTGGATTAATAATGTTATAAAGTTAAATATGTGTTTGGGGAAATATTAGTATTGATCATGCAGTCTGCTGCTGATTAAAAGAATGCAGAATTATTGGCTATTGTTTAAGAAATCTATAAAATATCACAGTAACCTTTATTATCTCAATGTAACGGCATCAGAACGGAAATTATAACTATTATTCAAACGGTAAAAAAAAGGCAACTTTTTGTTTTTGTCATGATTATCACGCTAACAGAAAATATTTTCGGCCACTGTTTATGTTTAAAAATTTTACAGCATAAAAAACACTAACAGAAAATATTTAACTTACTTCTTTTATGTAAACTTCCTCCAAAATTTAATTGGCACACATAAGTTTAAACAACAACACAAATTGAACAAAAAGTTGAGGAAAATAAGACTTAATTCTGTTGTTATTGGGGGGTTAAAATAACAATACAGAGTAAACTGCAGGGACGTTACCACAGCTGAAAGGTCAGCCAAACTGAAGAAGACTTTTATTTTTAATTAGTTTAATCACGCAGCCTCGACAGTCGCACTAATACCTTAAACTGAGCTGTAATGAATTTTAAATAAGGTAATTTGTGTTTAAATTTAGCCTCAATTATGAACAGTAAATTATTTTTGGTGGTTAAAAATAAGCCAGGCAACAACAAATTCATCTTTAATCTGAAAGTTTATTCTTCATTTATAGATTTTTTAAAAGCTTTTTCCAACCAATATTTACATTAGAATATATATATATATATATCTTTATGATAAACTCTACACATTATATCATGCATACAAGCTGTTATAGCACATTTTCTATACTGTGTATCCACCAGGGAGTCTTTTTCACATTAGACATGCAGAGTGTGTATACAGTCTGTCTCTCACACACACACACTCACACTCTCTCTGACTGGTTAATTAGCCGCTGCACAGTGGGAGTCCGTCCCTCGGCTGTCCATTATTCACCGATCACTGGCCTGTACAGTCACCACACACACACACATTCAGTCTCCTTCACGCTTACATATACACACACACTGACACACATCTTTAGCGTGCACATACAGTGCCACACACACACACATCCCCGACACCCCTCCAGGTTTCATTACAGTTATAAATAATTCAGGGGGGGAGTTGTTGCGGGTCTGTTAGACTAACAGCAACCACGCTTTGTTTATGAACCACCACCTCCTCTCTGTTAGCCTGTCTGACACCCACATACAGTACATACATTATACATACACACTGACACACATACATTACAATGAAACATGTTTTACAGTGGGTGGTTTGTAACTGTTACACACACACACAAACACACACACACACACACACACACACACACACACTTCCAGCCCATTTCTTTCCGGGGGATCAGTGTTTGCTCCAGATATGTCTCTAGTCCGTTACAGTGGATTGCTGGGTAAATTGCTCTGTCTCCACACTGACAGACATTTCACGGCGAATATCGGGGAGCGAGGCGGAGGTCGCTCTGATTTAGATTACCTCTCCAGGTGTCACCGAAGGAAAGGACTCCGACGTCCGCTTTGTCCTCAAACTGCTCGTTCTGCTTTGTTTGTGAAGGACAAACACAATATGAGACATTCTGTGCACAGCCCTCAAGGTCAAAGAGGACTTCACGATGTGATAAATTATTAAAAATATAATTATAAAATAATAGAGATATTATGACGAGGGATCAGATGCATTAAAATCTAATCTATCTCTATCTTCTCTCAAGGATTCAAACATTTTAAAATAGGCAGTGAAACTGGAGGTGAAACATGCTCTCTGATGTGTCTGTTGTCTCTGATATGTGTCTGTTGTCTCTGATGTGTGTCTGTTGTCTCTGACGTGTGTCTGTTGTCTCTGTGTGTGCAGGCCCACGAGCGCTCGGAGAGTGTGGAGGTTACCTTCGTCACTCAGCTCGTCAAGAAGCTGATGATCATCATCGCCCGGCCGGCGCGTCTGCTGGAGTGTCTGGTGAGAGAAACACGATGGTTGTCACATATTCACTGACTGACTGACTGACTGACTGACTGACTGACTGACTGACTGTAGTCATGTTGTCGAACCACTCGAAGTTCCCACACATCCTGAAAAATCTGGAATTAAAATGACCAAATATCCTGGAAATCTTCCAAGTTGTCCCAGACATGTTTTTTATTGTATTTTAGCTCCTCACTCAGATTGCACCAGTGGTTCCCAACCCTTTATCCTTAAGAGAGCCCTTTTCTATCACTAAGTAAACATATTATATTTCATATAATATTGAACAATAACAGCAGAGAACAGCTGATAAACTGCACAATGAACGCAAACAGTGAACTGAGTAACTGCAGAAAGTTTGAGTAAAACCAGAGATTATTTCCTGAATATTGATCAGAGACGAGTTTTAAGCAACTTTTTAGACAATTCTCAGTATAATGTATTTGTTTTTATTTATTAACAATCATACATACTACAAATGAGCAAAACACTCAGATATCGCCCTACTGGGTATCATTTTTAAGTTTTCTTAAACCCTTTAAAATCAAGAAGGCCACTCAAGCCCCTGTGAAGTTTTGGCGACCCCTAGTGGAGGCCTTGACCCCCCGGGTTAGTCTGGGTAGTCCTTGCTGTGTATTTATTTTAAAACTTGATTGTCAGTAGGATGAGCTTTAACACTTGAAAGGGGAGTTTACCAGACGGGGAGCGAACAGACTTGCAGCGATCTTTTTCTCTGAATTCTCTCAGAAGACGAGTGGAAATGTAGATGCTCATATCTGCTTCCAAGAAGATGGATTTCCTGTAAAATAAAATAAATTCTGCTTTATTTGAGCTGTTATAAATCACAAAGGGATTGGCTATGATGAAAACTGCAAGGAAACTCCTGATTTATTAAAAAGAAATACAAGAAGCACATAGCACACACAGAAACCTTCCTTAAATAAGCCGTCTGTCAGCCACACTGTGTGTGTGTTAGTCTGTTTCCATCATTGATTTACTGAGAACTTCTAGTCCTGTTTTGTTAAATGTTTTAATCAGCCTCGTCCTGCTCGGTTACACTGTAGTTTCATACATTTTAATCACGCTGCTGGCTGCTCATTGCTGTAAATTAGAGTCTGTTTGAAAGATTGCAGAGAAAAATATGAGCCGTATTAACTGGAATAGCTTCTTCATATTGCACAGCTCGACTCCATGCATGGTTAATACACAATTTAGAGCTTCCTGCTCCCCGGTGTGAGATGATTCAACCACAGCAATTCATTTATGGACTTCCTGGGAGAATTTTAAATCAGCCTAATGTACACACACACGCAGACACATTAACGCCTCTCAGCTGGTCGGGCAGCGCTTTCCCCCCCGACCTTCCTCCACTCTGAGCTCCATCAGTTTGGGTCGAGATGGTGTACTTCTGAGGGTCAAACGGCTGAATTCAACCTCGCGTCAGCCCCAGAAAGAAAGTGGAGAGAACAGATAAAGACAAAGTGGGAAAAAAAACAAGTGTAGGAGACAGAGGGGTAATTGGCGGGGCAGTGGAGGGTGAGGAGGAGGAGAGGGAGGACGGGGGAGGCTGCTCACATCGGTAGTTTTGACTAATCACGTGCAGCTGAAGCAGTGGCACCGTACAGGATGGGTTTTTACAAATGGAAGCACACAGATAGAAGAGGGGGCAGGGAGTGTTTACATGTACACTGTATCTGCTGTATGTGTGACAAAGACATACACTCCCCTGCTCCTACAGCCTCACACACACACAGAGAGGACACAGGAGTTAAATTGAGTGTGCAAGAACAAAAAAAACCTCCATCGTGCCTTCGTATCTGCCTTCACTCGAGGTCAGTTTACGGTCCAATCAGAAGGCTGAATTTATTGTTGGACACTGCAGTCTTTATGCTTCACAACCAGCGTCTGTTCTCACAAATCTAAGACTGAATCTAAAAGGATAAAGACCTGACCAGACCTACAAAAACCCTCAACTTGAGCTCAGCTAAAAGTAGCTCTGCTTGAGTGTATATATAATATATAATATGTTCTAAACTATTTACACACTGCAGTCTGTCTGGAAACACTTTCAGATGGAAATAAACAGACTCAATATCAAGCTGATGCTCAAACAGCAGCAGCAACTGAAACCTGACAACCTGTTCTCCATTTAATCATTGTTGGCCCTCCTTCCTCCCTGCAGGAGTTTGATCCTGAGGAGTTCTACCATTTGTTAGAAGCAGCTGAGGGCCATGCCAAGGAAGGCCAGGGCATCAAGTCCGACATCCCACGATACATCATCAGCCAGCTGGGCCTCACCAGGGACCCCCTGGAGGGTAACACATCTCAGAATTAACATTTTATTTTGACACCCACATTGGAAACATTTTTCTTTGTCACTTTATTTCTTTATTTCTCGTCTTCTGGCTCAGTTCTGTAGCTGATACTTGTGTCTCTGTAGAAATGGCCCAGCTGAGCAGTTATGACAGCGGGAACCCAGAAACTCCAGAGACTGATGACTCGGTGGATGTGAGTGTATAATAATATCATTATCATGTTTAACAGGTGTTACGTCTGTCGCAAAGTCAAAAAAGTGTCATTTCAAACAGCTTTTTGTGTATAATTTTCAAAAAGTTTCATTTTAAATCCAAAAAGTATGAACCTGAGTTGTTGCTTAAATAAAAAATATGACCTCTTTCCATCCATTTATTGATTATAAAGTCGTTCTCTGTGTGTTTCAGAGTCGAGGAACGACAGTCCCAGCAGCTCCACCGCAGACTAAAACCAAAACACCTCGAGAGGAAGACTTTGAAAACATCAAGCTCATCAGTAACGGAGCCTACGGGTAAGACAGCAGACGATTAACATCTTTAATATTTAAACATTAATACACAACATCAACAGTTAGAGTGAATCTAATAGAGTTGATTATTGGATGTTGCGACTGACGCTGTCTTTCTTCCTGCGTAGCGCCGTGTTCCTGGTGCGTCACAAGGAGACCCGGCAGCGTTTTGCCATGAAGAAGATCAACAAGCAGAACCTGATCCTGAGGAACCAGATCCAGCAGGCCTTCGTGGAGCGAGACATCCTGACGTTTGCCGAGAACCCGTTCGTTGTCTCCATGTTCTGTTCCTTCGAGACCCGGAGGCACCTCTGCATGGTGATGGAGTACGTGGAGGGTAAGATGATCATTGTTACAGGTACAGTCTGTTATTATTAGTAGTAGTTGTGTTGTGTTTAATGCTGTGACTGTCTCTGCAGGTGGAGACTGCGCTACGCTGCTGAAGAATATCGGAGCTCTGCCGGTCGATATGGCTCGTATGTACTTTGCAGAGACCGTCCTCGCATTAGAGTATCTTCACAACTATGGCATCGTGCACAGAGACCTTAAACCTGACAAGTAAGACACTCTCACACACAGTCGTATTTGACTCAGGCTGTTATTGTCAGTGTCTGACAGCATTATGGAAAGGATCCCTACAGAGATAGACCTTTAGTTTAACCACAAACAGCCGTAATATCACTATCACTCTCCACCAGACTCCAGAGACAGAAACACTCATTTTACCTTCAGATCATCGTTACTTCATTCAAACCTTTCATATTCTCTCCTGCAGTCTTCTCATCACATCCATGGGACACATTAAGCTCACAGACTTCGGTCTCTCAAAGATCGGTTTGATGAGTTTGACCACGAACCTGTACGAAGGACACATCGAGAAAGACACCCGAGAGTTCCTCGACAAGCAGGTACCAGCTTTGCCTCTTTCCCTTCCCGAGAGTTTGTGGCCCAAAATCAAGAAGCTTTTCCAAAATCATTGTTCTGTTCTTTTGTATTTCTGTTAGTCTGTGCAGTGAGTTCGAAGGCACCTCTGTAACCTTTGCCCCTCCTGCTGTTAGGGTACAATTGGCTGTTACTGATTTCCTTTGCTTTGACGCCTCCTCAGGTGTGCGGCACTCCGGAGTACATCGCTCCGGAGGTGATCCTGCGTCAGGGCTACGGGAAGCCGGTGGACTGGTGGGCGATGGGGGTCATCCTGTACGAGTTCCTGGTGGGCTGCGCTCCGTTCTTCGGAGACACACCGGAGGAACTGTTCGGTCAGGTCATCAGTGGTGAGTGTTGTCTCTGATTTAACGCCGTTGTTCTCCAGTACAGGTTCGATGGCCTTTCTTTCACTCAGTTTAGGTGACATCGTAGTCACTGGTGTCATTGTAGAGCAGCAGACAGATGCTTTACAGCCACCACAGCAGGTACAACACAGTGTATCTCTTCTAGTTTAAAGCTGTCATAGTGTAAAGAACACACCAAAACATGATTTTACAACCCTGCTATATAACAAAAATCAATACTGCCTCACAAAACAAAATACTGCCATACTCGAGTGTATTTTCTGAGACATCGGGGCAAAACAAAACCACAAAAATAAAGTCACTCAATGGAATGAAAATCCAGAGACTCCAAAGTAAAAGAAGCTGTTATATTAAACGTGTGGCAACGTGTTTGATGATAAACTGCCCCACACAGGAACGGTCTGCAGTTAGTCAGATTTCACATGAATTAACAATAACATATCCAAAGCTCACAATCAATCAACGTCATATAAACAGAGCATCTCAACCCAGTAATCATATTTTACACATAATTCATAATGAAAACTTGACACACCGTTTAGTCTCTAGATCTGTAGTCGGGAATTAAACAAATAATCTAAACCCACCTGAGGGGTCACAGACTGATGAACAGCATAGGAAACAACAGATAACATATTCCTGGTTTACACATTACGATTACTGGACAGTCAACAACTCAATATTATTCAAATCAAACGGCCAGAAAATGTCAAATGACTCACTAAGTAAGAGATGTAAGGAGTAACCACTGATCTAAACTGCTTATTTGTGAGATTAAATGAAGGTGAATGCAATCACTGCTGTCGTCTGCACACAGTCGGTCTGGGCACTGCGGGCTCACTGAACCCCCTACTGGCCGTAGCCCAGAATGCATGTAGGGAGTAATCTTCCTGAAATCCTCTGTCATACATTTAATATGTGTTAAAACAGGAAGCAGCTCTGCAGATTTCATATAAAAACTAAAGTATGAAACATCTGAAATGGTCTGACTCTGACTCTGCAGCAGGGAAAGAACAGGCTGAACTTAAAGGAATGAAATCAATTGTGATTTCTTTCCTCCTTTGAATTGCCTGTAATGAAAGGACAAGTCAATGATCATAAAGCTGTATTGATCCCAGCGCGTCTCCTTTATGACCGTCTGAGTCTGTCTGTCCACGTAGAAGCACACAGGTGATAAAGAACTGAGGTTCTGTGTTTTTATCTGTCAATACTGTGAGAAATCACATGTTGAGACGACGCCACTAGAAGCCTCATTGTAAACCCGGGAAGGTTGAACCCCAAAGTTTTATGAAACTGCTACATGCTAACTTGCATGTGTTGGGTGATTAGCATTAATAATCACCTCTACAGACAATATTCCACTAACAGCTTGGCTGGACAATATAGGAATAGGTTTTAGTGAGTTATTGAGGACGCAGCAGCCATATTTCATCTCCCTTTGATTCATATTTATTCCTTTTGAATTGATTTTGAGGTTATTTATGTGTTTAATATATAACAACAGCAGCAAAGACACAAGTCAGTGACACCAATGACACTGAGCTTTCCTGATTCTAAAATGCAGATCCAATGTATTAAACATATAAAGAACCTCAAAATTAATTATTAATTAATTAATCAAAATCAGCCAATCAGAGGTTGAAATAAGGCCAGAAATTGATTTAGCATCCTCAATAACCCCCAGAACCACTCCTATACTGTCCACATTGCCCACATTGTCCAAGCAGTCAGTGGATCTTTGTCTAGACACACTAGAGTAGAGGAGCTGTTTTAGTAGTAAGTGAGTTCGTAGTTCTTTATTTAGGCTCTTACTCCTCCTGTGGTTATATGTATTTATTTGATTTGAACAGCGCCCATCAACCGTTCATTTTCTACAAGATATCTAATTTCCTTAAAATAAATAACTCTGATTTACCATTAAACACCTGGTTTCATGTTGCTTCCAAACATGAACACATCTCAGCCTCTCAGTCGGGCTGACGTTAGAAAACCAGACTTCCACCGGATCATCTCTCATGTGTTTCCTCACTCATACACTCGTTCAGAGGCATTACAGTAACGTTGTGTCTGTCTGTCTGTGTGTGTTAGACGAGATCATCTGGCCAGAGGAGGAGGAAGCTCTGCCGCAGGAGGCTCAGGACCTCATCTCCAAACTGCTGAGACAGAATCCTCTGGAGAGACTGGGCACAGGTGACACTCACTGGTTCTCTTTGAATGTCAAAATAAAGGATGAAGGAAGAGCAAATGTTTGGCCCAGAGCCGGTCAAATCCGCCGCTGTGGTTGCCGATATCTCACTCTTTCCCCCCTCCGTCTCTCCTTCATCTCTACAGGAAGCGCCTTTGAGGTGAAGCAGCACTCGTTCTTCAGAGAGCTGGACTGGAACAGCCTCCTGAGGCAGAAGGCCGAGTTCATTCCCCAGCTGGAGTCTGAGGACGACACCAGCTACTTCGACAGTACGTCTCTGATCGCTTCATCCAGATATTCTCCCTCTCTGAGAGTCAGCAGCCTAATCACTGTCTGTGTGTCTGTGTGTGTGTCTCAGCACGCTCCGACCGGTACCACCACCTGGATTCAGAAGAAGAGGACGACACCAACGACGATGAACACGTGGAGATTCGACAGTTCTCCTCCTGCTCACCTCGGTTCAGCAAGGTACCCTCCGACACAGCTCCTACACGTCCTCACAGCTTGCACATACAGAACGATCCTGTCTGAAAGCATGTGTGAACGTTCTCCTGAGATATGAGCTGTCGATAAACAATCTCAGTAGATGAATATAAAGTTCAATCATCGGTAAAACTCTCTAAAACTAAAAACAATATGAGTTTTTATTATTGTTATTATTTTATGCATTTTAATACTCTGTTTAACATATTTTACATTTGGAATTATACATTTATGAGACATTATTATACACGTTATTATTATTATAGTATATTTACCAACAGAGAAAATTAAAACAATCAGTTCTGAAGAAGGTTCTGGTCCACAGGGATCAATATTTGTGAATATTCAGATGCAGATTTCTTTTTTTAACCACAACTTTTTACAAATAATAATTGAATAGGCTCTAAACCCAGCAGACATCCTACATGCAGATGTTTTTTTACATTATCCTGTTTAAATTGATCTAAAATAAAGCAGCTAAAACATGAAAGTAAAACTGAGAATCGTCCAGAAATATTCTGTTCATGTTTCTACATTTAGAAATCTTATGAATCACTGTGTTTCTTGTTTTTATTTAATGAAATTGAATGAAAAAATAGGTCAAATTATTGTATTTCTTTATATTTATGACTCAATTTAAATACTTTTGACTGATATAACCTTTTAGCTTTAGGTTGTACAGATGTGAGGGAATATGAATAGTTTAAGATACGTCACAATAAGCAAAAATACCAATGTAGGCCCTGGTGGACCATTTCTATGAGTTAATAATGTATCTGTAGTATAATATAATCCATATTCATTCATTTTAAGTCCACCTTAAACCTCGCTGTAAAGACTTCAGGTGGCATCAGGTCCAGGCAGAAAGCGTGTAGCTTCACATACTGTATGACGTGTTGTGTGCAGGTGTACAGCAGCATGGAGCGTCTGTCTCTGCACGAAGAGAAGAGGACTCCTCCTCCCACCAAACGCAGCCTCAGCGAGGAGGGAGGAGATCGTATCGACAGCCTGAGCGGACTTAAGTCCAGAGATCGATCCTGGCTGGTGGGATCTCCAGAGATGTGAGTTCTTCACCTCCTTTAAACCCCCACACAGCCTGTATCTCCAGTTCATCTCCTGTACTTAACAGAATTTCTTCTCATTGTTAACATCTTAATTAATAATCCAAAAATAACAATTTCATTTAAAATATGGAGATATTTGCTGCTACTGTGTGAAAGTTTTTTAGGTTTTCTTTCTTGATTCAGAGCAATTTAAAAGTATTTTTCATCATTGTGGTCTGGTTGGTGTTTTATGTGTGTTTATCATCTCCTCTCTATCTCCCCCCTCACCACCAGCCTGCGGAAGCGTCTGTCTGTCTCGGAGTCGTCCCACACGGAGAGCGACTCCAGCCCGCCGCTGACAGTCCGGAGGCGCTGCTGTTCAGCCATCATCGAGATGCCACGCTTTGCCATCTCCTCGGAGGAAGAGGGAGATCAAGGTAGGACACGGGAAGGATATCCTGACGGTTGCTCGCTGTCGGCAGGGAAACTGATCGGCCCAGAAACAGTGGACAGAATAGGAGAAAGATGTTAAGGCTGCTGTAGAAAAGGCTGTAAGATATGTGACGTGTCTGACCCAGATGAAGCTGAAAAACAGGTCTAGAAAAAGCTAGAAATCCCTGTTACATTCCCTCACAGCAGTGTAAAGTGTCCCAGTGAGAGTTTCTGAGAGATTCATAGACACTAGATGACAGCGACACCCTAAACAGACGCAGAAACTGATGGAAAAAACTCCCGAACTGTAATGATGTTTAGTTTCAGACAGAGAAGAAACGTGGCTGACTCTGTATCGTCGCTCTCTCAGGTGCGGCCGGAAGTCGTAAGAGCCCCAGCCTGTTGGGTCCGAGCGCAGTGAGGGGCCCGCGGTGTGACGAGCTGCCCCTCGCCATCCCAGAGCTCCCAGTGGAGAGAGAGCTGAAGCTGGACGAGTCTCCCACCACGCCGAGCTCCACCTCCAGTCAGCTGAGCAAGACCACGCTCACACGTCAGTGCAAACACACGAGACACAGCTACACATCGTCTTCACTTTTAAATCAGCGGCTAACAGCAGGCGGGGACTGAACAAGTGGCTTGAAAATGATCTGTTTAGTTGTGACCACAGATGTGTCATTGCGACTGAAAGGGTTCCCACAGGTCCTTGAATCTGTGAATTAGAGGAGGAAAAGATAAAGGCCTCATTGAAAGTGCTTGAAGCTGCTAGTTCTCGTTTTAAAAATGATCAGCATTAAAACAGTAACTGACCTCGATCTGTGTCTTAAACTACGCCATGTTGGGTCCTTGAATTTGAGGGAATTGGGCCTGAAAAGTCCTTGAATTTGATGTTGAAAGGGTTGTGGAAACAAGTTTTAATTTAAATTACTGTTTTAACTTAAGCTTTATTTTATTTGTCTTTTACACTGATCCCCAATATTCTGACTTTATGTATATACACATATATATATATATATATATATATATATGATATTAATATGTATAAGATATTAATTCTCTGAACTGTATTTTAGCTCCATTCATTGACTAACACACACACAGCTGAATGTATCTGAGTGTCCGCTCTCTCCTGTCCTCCTCAGCGGGTAGTTCAGGCAGTAACGGCGGTGCTGTTAAAGGTGCGTCAGACAGCGACTCTCCATCCACTCCGAGAGCTATCAGCGACCTGGCGGCTCGCAGGGCTCGCCATCGGCTGCTCTCCGGAGACGCGGACAAACACGCGGCGACGCCGAGCTCCAGGCCGCTCAACAAGGTCATCAAGTCGGCCTCCGCCACCACGCTGTCGCTGATGATCCCTGCAGGTCAGTGTGAGAGGGGGGAGACGCTGCGGCTGAATGCTGAGCGCCAGGAGCACAGTGAGTGCCACATTCAAGCTCCCGTGTCTGATTAGGTGTGATTAGTATTTCTCAAGCTTTTTATACCGTCTCAGAAAATATCAGGATCTTCACAGACGTAACAGGGAAAGTTTAAGTGTGAAAGAAAGTCTGTGATTGTACTTAAAAACATTCTACACGGACACCGACCTCATCATCCGTCTGCTCTTAGACCACCACGGAGCCTCTCCGTTGGCGAGCCCGATGTCGCCCCACTCGCTGTCGTCCAACCCGTCATCGCGGGACTCCTCCCCGAGCCGAGACCTTTCCCCGGCAGTGAGCAACGTCAAGCCCGCCATCGTGATCCACAGAGCGGGCAAGAAATACGGCTTCACCCTGAGGGCCATCCGGGTTTACATGGGCGACTCTGACATCTACACGGTTCACCACATGGTCTGGGTGAGTCCCGCTCGCTGTGGTTACTGGAGGAGACTGTGGCGTGTGTGTGTGTGTGTGTTTCTCTTCTCTTCTTCCTGTTCCTCTTCCTCTCTCATTCTTTACTCTCCACCTTCCTTTCTTTCTGACCATCTCTCTCTCTCTTCCCTTCAGCACGTGGAGGAGGGCGGCCCGGCCGATGAGGCGGGGCTGAGGGAGGGAGACCTGATCACCCACGTTAATGGAGAGGCGGTTCACGGTCTGGTTCACACGGAGGTGGTGGAGCTCATACTGAAGGTACCGAACACAGAAACACAGAAACACTTATTTCTGCTTCTTGTATTCAGTAAAATCACTGAAACAACGTTTGTCTCCCCCTCAGAGCGGAGCCAAAGTGTCCATCTCCACCACCCCGTTTGAGAACACGTCCATCAAGATCGGCCCCGCCCGAAAGACCAGCCACAAATCCAAGATGGCGAGACGCAACAAGAAGACCAAGACCAAGGAGGGACAGGACAGGTGAGACACAAACCATCGGGCGCCACACTGTGCGTATTTAAGGCGGCGAGTCACTGAGTTGAGATGTTTGTGTGTTTTTTTTCGTGCAGCAGCAAGAAGAGGACGTCTCTGTTCAGGAAGATCACCAAGCAGGCGTCTCTCCTCCACACCAGCCGCAGTCTGTCCTCTCTCAACCGCTCTCTCTCCTCAGGGGAGAGCGGCCCCGGCTCGCCCACGCACAATCTGTCGCCACGGAGCCCGACGCAGGGCTACAGGTCCACGCCGGACTCCACCCACTCCGGTGAGAGACGCAGAAAAACTTACGACTGTAGGAGCAAGAATAACTTTAATATATTATTAACATTATTCCTTTCTGCTCCTCAGTTGGCGGGAACTCGTCTCAGAGCAGCTCCCCGAGCTCCAGTGTCCCGAACTCCCCGGCGAGCTCCGGCCACATCCGGCCCAGCTCCCTGCACGGCCTCGCCCCGAAGCTCCAGCGCCAGTACCGCTCACCCCGACGCAAGTCTGCCGGCAACATCCCGCTCTCCCCTCTGGCCCGCACGCCTTCGCCCACCCCTCAAAGCAGCTCGCCGCAGCGCTCGCCCTCCCCGCTGCCCAGCCACGCTCTCGGACAGTCCGCGGTGGGTCAGTCGTTCCCTGTGAAGCTCCACTCCTCCCCACCCCTGGTGAGGCAGATATCCAGGCCGAAGAGTGCCGAGCCGCCGCGGTCTCCGCTCCTCAAGAGGGTGCAGTCGGCTGAGAAGCTGGCCTCCTCCCTCTCTAACTCCCCCTCGTCTCCCTCCGGGGTGGCAGCGGTGGGGGAGAAGAAGATGGCGGTGGGAGCGACCGTAGGGAGCCGGAAACACAGTCTGGATATCTCACATTCAGAGTTTAAGAAGGAGATCCTGCAAAGAGAGCCGAGCCTACAGAGTCTCCAGGTAGGAGTTTATCACAGTGACCAGACAATATATTGATTCTATAAAAGTATCTTTAAGACTTCAGTTATATTGTTCCACTATCGAACAATTTATGCCCAAAAAATTACAAAAACTACATTTTTATTAGTTTAATTTGTAAAGAACTTGTAGCTGCTGACTGTTCAATATCAGTATCAGGACATTCTGTCTTCCTGTCTAACCTTCAGGAGTCCGCCAGCGAGGGTCTGCTGTCGTCTGCAGGACGCGGCGTGGAGAAGGGCAGCCTGCAGAAACACTCCTCCTCATCCAGGAAGTTAGGGCGTCAGGAAGGGGACGGCGCTCTCGGCGCGGTGTCCGGCTCGCTGGGCCTGGCCCCCGGGAAGAGCAAGCTGAAGGACAAACTGTCCGCCATCCGGCAGGACAGAGCCGAGCGGAGGGAGTCGCTGCAGAAGCAGGACGCCATCCACGAGGTCGATTCATCCGAGGACGAGACGGACGAGGGCTCGGAGGACAGCCAGGACGGACGCAGGGGGGCGACCTTCACCCCTCCTCCCCTGCTGAGGCCCACCACTGTGAGGACGGGCCCCGGGGGGACGCTGCCGTCCCTCTGCCTCTCCCCCTGCACCCCGCACGCCACATTCACCCACACGGGGCCCTCGCAGGTGGGCAGGCCCACTCCCTCACACACCCTCCCCTCCGTCACAGAGGCGAAGCCCGGTCAGAGCACCTCCTTCCCGGGAGTAAAAGACACACGGTCGGCCTCAACCGTGGAAGAAGGCGCCAGACAAGAGAGGAAGGTTCTGGGACCGAGCGGTACCTCAAAACCCACTCAGGGTCCCCTTCCCTTCTCCACCCCAGGCAGTGCATTCATCTCAGTCAGCAAGGACACGTTCCTCAAACCGAGTCCTCCACAAGACTCCAAGAGTCTCAAGGGGAAGACGGCACCATCAGAGCCGAGGGCGGAGGACCAAACCCTGGACAGCCCTAGAACCACAGCCCCCTCTACCACGGTCACTACAAATACTACAGACTCCAGAACCACCACAGACTCCAGAACCACCACCACTACTACTACAGACTCCCCAGAGACTCCCCGCACCTCCTGCTCCTCTCCCGGCATCCCCAAGGAGAAGAAGGAGGCCGACAACCGCAGACTTTGCGCTGCAGCTGCTGCGAGTCTGACGCCATCGCCCACTTCTGGCTCCAGTTCCAGCTCCCCGGTTCCGGGCCCTGACAGCGGCGTGGACAAAGTCGTGTCTCAGCTAGTGACAGTAGCTAAGAGTGTCCTGGGCCCGGTCAAACTGAGCCCTGCTGTAGACAAGAAGGACCAGAAACCATCCAGAGGCAGCACCCCAGAAGACTCTTTCTCCTCCAAACAGCTCCCCGCCCCTCAGTCGCCCACCAGACAGAAAACAGAGCGAGTTGTCTCCCCGACCACCTCGCCGAGGTCGGTTAAATCCTCCACCCAGAAAGACTGCGCGACCCCGCAACCGCAGGACGTCCCAGAAAGGCCCGCATCGGGGTCGGCTGCCGCGTCTGCACAGCGGTTGGGTCCGGCGACCGCTCAGCCGGCCCTCAGCGCAAACTCCTCTGCAGCATCTGAGCCACAGCGCAAGAGGTCCGAACCACAGACCACAACCGCCGACGCTGTGCCCACCTCCTCGCACCAAGACAAAGCAACCAGCAAGAAGACGTAGCAGCGAAGAAAGCAAAACAAAAAGAACAAAATGCACAGATCCCACCACTCAGTGCTGGCCCGAGGTTTTAAAACTCACACAAACTGCATGTTGGGAAGAAAAACACATTAGTAACTTCGCACTAATCCGAGAGTTTGACGTTCAGAGCGAGACGAAGCAGAGACAGATGTTGTAGTCGTAGTCCCATTCCAGCTGTTCTGTGCTCTTTAATGTCCACGTGAGTTTATTTTGGTTTCCGCTTGCAGGCTAAACGCCGCGCAGAGCTTTTCTCTTTCACGTGGGGGCTAGAAATAAAGAGCTCAGCGGGTCCACGCACGTTCCTCGCACACATCAGGACGCGCCTGAACTCGTCCCGTCCCTCCTCGCCCGACGATGTCCAACCAACTGGAAGAAAGAGATCGTATCTCAGCAATAAAGTGCAGCGTATGTTTATCTGTGTAAATGCATTAGAGTGTTTTCAATGGCACCAAATCTGCACCGTCATCGTCCCACTCAGCACGCAGATAACCGGGACAAATTAAATTCTCCTCGCGCCGTCGTCCCCCGGTGATCCGACGCTGCAGGTCCGAAGAGATTCCTGGGAATGTCAGAGCTGGATTTAGATTAGTGTCGGTGCTGAATTACCAGAACAGAACCACACTGTTTCAGATCTGCTTCAGTTCTTTCCAAGTTGATTTTTAAATGTTTGGAAAGTACTGAACATTTCACATGGGACCGGTAGCTAAGATGTTATATGGCAGAGATTCAGAACAACTGATCCTATTAAATCCTATCAAAACCCAACCCTAGCATATTAGCATTAGCACGATTCATTCAGAGTTATTGTTTTAGTTTAAGAAACAGAACCAGAGAACCCAAACTGAGCACGCTCAGACCGTTCTGTCGGACCGCCGCCTCTTTATTTCCAGCCCCCATCAGCCTCCAGAGGTTTTATTTGGTATCTGGACCAACTTGCTGTGTTGTCAGACTTCGTACACGTTTGTGTGTGTGTGTGTGTGTGTGTGTGTGTGTGTGTGTGTGTGTGTGTGTGTGTGTGTGTGTGTGTGTGTGAGCGTTTGTTAACTCGTGCATGGTTATCTGTGTATATATATAAGAATATTTAAAGTTCTGTTGTGCATCTGTTTTATACCCCCCGAGTGCGTTTGCGTGTTTTAGGATTAACTTTGTTTTGGGACACTGTGCGACCTGTGTGTGTGTGTGTGTGTGTGTGTGTGTGTGTGTGTGTGTGTGTGTGTGTGTGTGTGTGTGTGTGTGTGTGTGTGTGTGTGTGTGTGTGTGTGTGTGTGTGTGTGTGTGTGTGTGTGTGTGTGTGTGTGTGTGTGTGTGTGTCGGGCATCGGCACAAAACTTTGATCTCATTTTGAAAAAGACAAAAAAAGGAAAAGGTGGTTGTTGGACCGCTGTTATCCAGTTAAAATCAGTTCCTTTAAGTTCTTCTGTGCTCACTGATTCCTACTGAACAACAAACTGTTGTTGTTGTTGTTGTTTGTTTTTTGTTTTGGTTTGTTTAAAGAGAAGTTGAACGCACCCCGAGCCCGACCGCGGTGCGAGTCCTCTCAACGTTGTTCTGCTCCTGTGAGAAACCGAAGCTCCGTCGGTGTTTCGTGTCTTTCCCGAGCTCGTTGGAGCCGCTGACATCACCGCTGAATTATGTTTACATGTTGTTGTTGTTGTTGTTTTTGTTTTTGTTGCCTGTAGCAATCAGCCCTCCTCTGACAGGCTCCTGATCGCAACGCGCTCATATTCAGGAGTAAAGATTCAGGGCACATGTGGCAAAATCATCTCCGCTCTCATGCAGAAGCGTGTTAGCAGGTGTGTCTGCGGAACAGATCGGAGGCTGCTGGAGAGGAAGCAGCTCCTCTCGGGGGGGGCATCGGACGACCGATAGCTCAAAACTGCCTAAATCAGTCGCCAACGGGGGGGGGGACGCCTGAGAGCGAGCGTGGGCAGTAGAGTTAGAGTTCAGTCTGTGGCTCCGAGGCCAATAAACCGTCTACTTGATAAAATACCATCAGACCTGAAAAAGGCCGATCTTCGTCAGTTTGACAGTTCGTATCCTCCGTACGTAAAGTTTAAAGACTTTAAAGAGAGATTGTGATACTTTGTGAGAGCAGATTTCAAACCAGTGGCTTAAAAAAGAATCTGTATTTTTAGGACTTAAAGTCAAACTAGTTCCTTTAATCAGCCGATAATTTAACATCACTGAAATATCCGCAGAGAAAAGCCAAAGATGTGTTTAAGGTCTCCATTCAGTCGGGTTTTTTTAAGGGATTCTTATTAAAAATGTGTCGTTATATTGAGACGATATTCATCAATCAGGTCGGGCTCTACTCGAAATTGTCCGTGCGCTCTCGAGTCCTGATTGATTGATTGATTGATTGATTGATTATTGAATTACAGCCGTTCAATTAAATCCTGGAATTTGTTTTTTTGCTCGTTAGTTTGTCTCTAAAAATCTTCCCGCTCAGCGCTTCTGTTTTATATTCTGCTGAACCTGAGTGTGTGTGTGTCCATCTGCGCTCACACACACACACACACACACACACACACACACACACACACACACAAAGATCAATACTGGTGCCATCGGCCTCCACTGATGGTATAAACACACACACACTTTCTCCCGTGTGTAAAGTTGATGCTCCCGCCATCTGCTAGAGAGTGTCAGCTTCCCTGGTGGAGTCATTAATCTCGAACCCTGAGCCTGCTGACCACACACACACACACACACACACACACACACACACACACACACACACACACACACACACACACACACAGGGTCAGGTCGGCCAACACAAACACCACCCAGCCTCCCTCAGGCTCCTCCGTCCTGTCCCGGTCCCGGTCGCTCCGGCGCTTAAACTCTGCTGGCAGTTTGTTCGACCTCCAGCCTGTGTTTACCCATCATGCACCTCTGCCGCTCTGTGGCTGAGGCCCGCGCAGCGTTCATTAAACCGCTGAGAGAGTCAAATTAAAACTGTACTCGGGCCTGCAGTCGGGATTTAAGAGCGAGCGTTGGTTTTCAACACTAGTGCCAAAACAATAGCTGCACATTAGTTTGAGAAATATATTTAAATATTCAACAAACACACTAAAGTGTTTTAATCTCTATAATCCGTAATTTACCTAAAATAACCGTCTGAAAGTGACTCACCTGAGCTTCCAGTGTTAGACAGTTTCTAATAATCAATACCAGACTCATTTTATTTGATGTATTAAGGTTCATTAATTAACCCTTTGATCTTAATTTGTTCATCGAGAACAACTCAGATTAGTTTCACTAGTTTTGTCATTGATAACCTTCCGTAAACAGTTCCGTATTGACGTCTTATTGACGACTAACGAGAGTCCGATCTCTCTCTTCAGAACGTAGAAACTAGATGCTCGTACATTTATTACAACTCAAACAAGAGCGTGGACCAAACGAGGATTTAAAAGATGCGCTGATGATTCTGTCCCTGCCTGATATCCGATATCAAACTCCTGACTCACAGATCAATGAAGCATCGGTTGTGTTGTTTTATTTTGTGTCACTAACGAGCTTCCGTACGCCTCTGACTCTGAGCATGTAGAGCGAACCAGCTCCGTCTGCGAGGGCGCGCAGACGATCCAAACACGTGACTTTGGGTATGACGAGGTACGATGTCCGTTAACGCTTCGTATCTGCGTCCGGGGAGGTCGGTTGAGCGGCTAGAAAAACTGCAGACGAGGGCGGTTTCGTTTCCGAGCTGTGTGTTTTTTTGTTTTGTCTTTTTAAAGAGTGACGAAGAGGAGGAGGAGGAAGCTTGAGGAAGATGTTGAGAGAAATAAAACATTGCTAGAGTAAAACCAGTGCAATATCTTTTTATTTTTTATCGTGGTAAAAGCATGTTGTTGTCAATCTTACCTTACAACAATAATAAAGTTTTTTTATGTAACACTTTGTGTTTGATGTGTTTTCTGTTTTATCGCCTTTTAGCACGACCTCGTGCTTTTTACATTAACGCAGCACGTTCGGAGGAAACTCATAAAGTCGGACACAATAAATGATTTAAACCTCCGGCTGCTGCTACACTGCAAAAACACCAACGTCAACTCAAATGTTTCCCACAATGCAATTCAGGTGTCTCAGTTTTATATTATAGATATTATAATAATGACTTTCTGTGTTCCTCAATAACTCAGCTGTTTAATATAACAACTTCTATCAATATAAGCCTGATTAGTTATATTATAGCAGCGTTTATCTGTATTTATAACTTATTTCATTGTTTTTATATTATAAATATATTTAATTAAACATTAAAGAGCCCAAAAAAATTCCTCAAGATTTTAAAATTAAAGCTAAATGCTGTATTTTAATTATTACAATTATTTTCTGTTATTTTACACTATTATTTTGGCGTTCCAGCTGCTGAAGAGTATTATATCATATATATATATTATATATTATATATTATATTTGTGACAATAGATCCTCACTGTTGCTCACTGGCTCTTTAATGTTGGGATTTCTTTTTTTTTTTTTTTTTTTTTTTACAGTGTTTTAAACCTTTTTGTTCTCTAACTGCTTTCCTTCAGTTCTTCCATCTAATAAATGTGATGTTAAACTGCCCCCTCACCCCCCCCCATCCTCTCCTCTCTCCCGGTTCACGCCACACGTTTGAATCTTGCTCATCTGTCCTCATCACGTCCCGCCGTCCTTCCGGAGAGGGCGAGCAGAAAAGTGGCAGTAAATGATCAGTGAACTCGTTCTGGCTCCGGTTCTTCGTGTTAAAGTGGCTCCATCCGCCCTAATGGAGCCGATCAGCTGCTGGATGTGTGTCCGCCGTCTCCGCGGGAGATTTCAGGCGTCTTAATGGCCTTGAGAGACGACTTCAGCGCGGCTCGCGGTGCATTTACGGGGGGGGCTAATGGCTAATCTGTGCAGCGCCGTGGGGGCCGCCACGCTCCGGGCCAGAAATGGCGGTAAAATGGAGCTCCATTAGCTGTTCCTCCACGCCGGGTACGGCTTCCCGCTAAAGCGCCTCGCTCTCCCGCCAATGGACTGCTGAGGTCAGGGGTCACACTGCCTGATTTGAACACCACCTACCGTTGCATTCTGGGATAATTGGGTCCCCCCCCCCTCCTCCCTTCAGCTCTGTTCCTTCCATCCATCCCGGCGTCCGTGGGGAGCTGTCAGAGTGGAGGAGGAGAGTGGAAAGGCCTCTCTCTCTCTCTCTCTCTCTCTTTCTGTACTGGAGGTCCTGAGGGGGGGTGGAGGTACACGTGGCGGCGGCGAGGAGCTCTGACAGAAGGCGAACAGCACTCAGACACACGAGAAAAAGGCGCGAATGAGCGGTGACAGGCAGGCAGCGCGGGGTGATGAATTGCCAGCTTCGCCTCGCTCTGACACGGCTCTACATGACCGGGCAAATTCATTCCAGGTTGCCGGAGAGGGAGGGAGGGAGGGAGGGAGGGGGGACGTTAGCAGGAGAAAACGAGACCCAAATATATGGACTTCCTTGGTTCGGGCCCGAAGTCAAAGCCTTTAACTCGAGTGTTCAGTGTGGGGGGGCATTTAGGGCAGAAACACATCAGACACTGGAGGATCTTTAAAGTCTTTATTTCATCAACTAATAAACATAAAGTGTCATTATTTATTAAACTCATTTCAGGTTCTGTTTGTTTGAAACCTGATCGGACCAACAAAGCTCAACCCTGCCGTCGACCTTTTTCCTTTAAATGACAGATTTTATTTTATATTCAGGTTTTAACAATAACAGCAGAGCAGGAAGTTTGTGTAAAACTGAACAAAAAAGAATTTTAAACTGATTATTTCCTGTGATTATTGATCAGAGATGAGTTTTACTGATATTTATAAGAACTTTTTATTAAATCTTCTGTATTTTTAAACATTTAAACAATCAATCAAACAGTTTTCTTCTCTGTTCTATCAGTTATTTTCTATTCCAACAGCAGCTTATATGTTAGATCCTCCAAAGTCCTCAATAAACTAGAGCACAACCAGACCTCGGCTCCCGCGACCGCGTCACCTCCCGGTCCTCCAGAACCTGCACCGGCTCCAGTCCACCACCAGGTCCCCGTCCTACCTCACAGACCGGCTCCAACCTCCCGTCTCCGTCACTCAGGACCGAGCATCAGCTGCCCCCTCCCACTGGAACTGAACTGATCCATCAACCTTCAAATCAGTGATCAATACCCCCTCTCTCTGTGGTTGTGTGTTATATATATAACACACAACCTATGACCTTTTAACATTTTAACTTATGTGTCTTTGAGTTCTTTAAAAGCGGCTCTTTAAATAACATTTGTGAATAAATTTGTTCAGTTTATGAAATAAAAAACAAACAATATTCAAATGTTTGCTGCAAATATTGTTTGTGTTCCAACTTTCAACAGGTTCTTTACATCTTAATGAAAAATCACAAAAATGTGTTTTTATTGTTTGACTGAATATTTTAAAGTTTTCTTACAACCCTGAAAATCAACACGACCTCCCGACCCCTAGTGAGGGTCCCGACCCACAGGTTGGGAACCGTTGCTTTGCTCTGAGATGCCGGTGCTCTAGTATGACACCCTCAATGTGAAATGAAGAATGAAACTGGATGAAACCGACAGCAGAGAAACAAACTGAGGATCAGAGGAACTTAAAGGTGTGTGTGTGTGTGTGTCATTGATTTTCATGTTTTTCCCTTTCACAGCCTGAAGTCGAAGCTCGTCTGTGTGTTTACTGTCTGTCTGTCTGTTTGTCTGTAAAACGCCTTAAAACCGGGAAAAGAGAAAAAACAACATTATCTTACGGCTAAAAACAAGGTTGTTTGTTCAGTTGTTGACATTTCGATGCTACAAACTCTTCACAAACAGAATGTTAAAGTTGGTCCTGAAATACAAAAAGAACATTTCAACATTTCACAAGTGCAACGTTATATATTTCTGCCCGAGAACAAGAAAATAAACATCAATAAATATCAATAAATGTCTGTGTTGAGTATAAAGCTGGAGTCAGGATGTAGTTAGCCTAGCTTAGCATGAAGACTGGAAGCAGGTGAAAACAGATATTGTTTGTTTAACCTGCACATAAACAGTTTTCTGCTGATTTTTTAAAATAAAAAACATCTAAAAGGACCTTAAACATTCGCTGCCAGTCTTAATATTATAAATATAAATGGAATTAAAATGTTCATGCTAACACAACCCATCGGGACCGAGTCCTTCCGTCGGAACAAAGAACAAAGTTACTCCTCATTGTTTACACCTCGACTTTAACTTCATCACCGTTAATGAGCGCACCTAAGTGATTCAATCTGGCTCCTGATTGGCCGGTGAGCCCGGCAGAGAGAGATTACATCCCATTACTCCCAGTCCTCTAATTGGTCTCTGTAGGTAGCAGGTGTCAGGCACTTAATGAGGCCTGTTGTGGCTGATGTATGGCTCCGGTAACGTCCATCCCGCCGCACCGGAGACGGCGACGCCTATGAGACTAATAGCACATGAAATAGCTGCCGTCGAGGAAGAAGAGGAGGAAGAGGAGGATTGTTTGTGTGCATTTCTGCTCAAATCGATCTGTTTGAAAAGGAAGACGAGAGGTCGAAGGACTTTTGAGTTTTGGAACTTTATTTTCCTCCAGTTTGTCTCCTTTGTGTCCTCCTGGCTTATTATGGGATGTTATGTTTGTTAAAGGCTGCTGAAAAACAAATATTAAATAAAGAATAAAGCTTCAGAATAACCCAAAATGTTTCCCTGTGAAGGTTTTATCATCAGCATCTCAGACCAAAGACAATAAGGAGTACAACCCACCAGACTCCAGTCACATAACTAGTAATTTTACAAAGCAAATAATCACAAACTTTAAACTGGACAGAAGTCAAATTAAATTAAAGTTTGTCCACTAACAGTAGTTATTTCTGCAGACTGCAGAGACAGAAACACTCATTTTACCTTCAGATCATCATAACTTCATTTAAAGTGGACACAAACAGAATCAAACTCATTAAAAGCGTCTCTGTTAGTGTTTCCAACAATCACCAACTCTGGTTTGGTGGAAATAAATCCTTAATTCACCGACGTAGATGATAAAAACAGCAGTTTCAGTCGGAGCAGACCGGCTATGGAAACAAACCACAGAGAGGCTGCGATACAACACAGGCAGAGGGAGAGAGACACCATGTGACTCTGTATATAAAGAATATAATGTTAGCTGATATAGTAACGTTTTATATCTTTTATATAAAACACGTAAACAGTTGAAACCACTGAAGTTGTAGAAATACGTTCACTGTTTATTGTCCGATGTGGCGCGTTTACATGATTTAATCCCCCCGCTGATTTAACAAAGGACATCGTTATGGATTTTTACCTGGATTCACCTCATCAGATAAGTGTGTGTGTGTGTGTGTGTGTGTGTGTGTGTGTGTGTGTGTGTGTGTGTGTTAAAGGTGAGACCATAAACACACAACCAGGGTCTGACAAAGACCTTCCTCTTGACTCTGTGAACAAAAAGGCTGCTGTTCAACAAAGGACTGATAGGAAGGGGTTAAGAGCTCCAGCTCCGGTGTGTGTGTGTGTGTGTGTGTGTGTGTGTGTGTGTGTGTGTGTGTGTGTGTGTGTGTTGTGTGTCTGTGTGTCTGTGTGTGTGAGAGAGAGAGGAGTGTGTGGGCACCCTGGGTCTCCATCAGTGTCTGGCTGATTGATTGGGACGTCAGCCAAGATAAAAGATCCCGTCCTCACAGCACGGACACGTAACGCCCCGGGGAGAGAGAGGCACACGCTAACACACACACATACACACACACACACACACACACACACGCACACACACACTTGGATACCTGCACTGAATACAGATCTGCCTCCTGCTCTCTGCTGGCTGTGTTTACACTCCTGTGTATATATTCATATTGGAATAAATGTCACATCCCACTGAACATTTTCTCTC